CCAAGAATATGAATCCCTGCAGTCACAAAAGCTTTAAATCAGAATATTTTGCTGTTTTTTTTATGGATTTTCTGTTTGCACAGTCACATAGTCACTTTAAGATGTTTTTCTTGTTCGTGTTTTTGTTTTTGTTTGTTTATTGCGGTTGCACCCGATTCAAGAGCCGAATGGCTCACAGGGCTATACCAAAATAAATAAACTGAAAATAAATAAACTGAAAACACAGTAGACACGGTAGACACGCGACCCCCACGATCTTCCCTAAGATTCTCGCACGAACTTGTCTTAGATCACCGCTTGAGTCCATCGGCGATCTCTGGGCCCCTCTGGGCCTTCAGGGAGTCCGGGTTTGGTTGGGATCTTCAACTCCTTCCGTATTATGACATTTCTCTTAAAAAATATATATATTCTATTTAAACTCTAAAAAAACGTCTTAAACGTTTTATTTTTGTTATTTTACCAGGTAAAACCCCCTGAGCTATATACAAGTGGCTCTTTTTCAGAAGCGACCTGAACACAAATGATAGCTCAACGAAATGGCTCATCATATGTAGATGTATAGCAGCCAAATACTCTAAACGCATGTTTCTGAGTGTGGAGGGAAAAACCGGAGGACCCGGAGAAAAAAATCCACACGGCCACGGGGATAGAGACACGCAAACTCTAAATATACAACAGGAATTAAGGTTGGGATCGAATGCACAACCTCCCGCATACCAGTCGAGGGAGTTAACATCTCGTTACCATGGCGCCCCATTCTTAACCAACCCACCCAAATTTTGATTTAAAGCTTTTGTGACTGCAGTGATTCATATTCTTGGTTCTTTCGGTAAAGTCACGTTGAAGGGAAACAATAAATAATATATTTTAAAATAATATATTTTATATTCTTGGTTCTTTCGGTAAAGTCACGTTGAAGGGAAACAATAATTTAAAATATATTATTTTATTATTTTATTGTTTCCCTTCAACGTGACTTTACCGAAAGAACCAAGAATATGAACCCACCCAAACTCATTGAGATGTTATGGATGGCGCTTTATAAGCTGTAATTATCATTATTATTGGCCGTTCCGCTGTCCTCAGATCCAGCAAAACCTGTTTGGCATTAAACATGTCTGAAAATAAATATTGTATACGTCACAATCGGAATCTTTAATTATCCTGGAGAAATCCGATGAGCAATGAAGCTGTTTTTTGCAGATGTCCAGAAGGGGCGGGTCAGAAAGATACAATAAACAATGACAAAAAAACTAAACAAACAATACTTAGAGTCTCACGACCAATATTATGATTCATAACAGATTGTTTCATTTGAGTTAGGTCGTGTTAAAAAAAGAACCAATCAACTCGCATTCAACTGTGATTATCAATTCAGACCACGTGGGTCGACGTGCCGATGACGTCACGGCATCGACTTGAAGGACCCGGATCAGCGATCGCTTTCGCACGTGGTCTGAGCTCTCTCCAGTGAACAACCTGATGATGCTGGGTGTAATCTCGAGCGAAACGTCGGTCTCCGTTTCAACATTGCGAGATTATACTCCAACAACACAGGTGGTGGTTGCGGTTGAAGCAGAAATAATGTTGGCACGTCTGTTTAACGTGACACTTTTATTGAGTTGACTGTGTTGGGGTGAAGGAGGGTTTAACGACACACATTTTACACCAACTAATCTCTGTAACTCCTTGCCCCTTCGAGGTCAGGACTTCCGAGACATTTACAAATCTTGAAATTTCGTCTAAAAACGTATCCGTCTAAAATGGCTTTTTCTCTTTAATTATTTTCAAAGTATTTCTCACTTCTTCCCTTGGTTGATGTTCGACGCCTTTTGGTGCATAGCGCCCTGAGAACGATCGTCAGAGCTGTCAATCCACACGGGTTATTTACCCCGTGTATTATTGCACATGGAAATTGAGTTTTCAGGTCCATACGGCGTACAGCCGTTTCAATACCCGCAACAACAAAACGCTATATTTGTTTGTGTCTCTCCCTCGTGATAGGACGTTATAGGATGAACGCGTTAAGATTTATAAGGACACGGGGTGACCAATAAAGGCCTAAATTGGTCTGTAATAAGGTAGGCACTGGTAAGGGGTTGACAGGTATGGATTGTTTAAGGGCGCTTTATACATTTCAACTATTATAAAAAAAAACACTTACCTGCCGTGTTTGCCTCCAGACTTCTGCGCTCCATTACGCGCTGAGTGTCGCGAGAGAAGGCCTCACACGTGGATTTCTACAACCGTTGCATCGGTTCAAATGTCATTACGCACAGACGATTTCCACAGTGACAGATGATCCTAGTAGCAAAAGTAGCTACACATGCTACGGCCCCCGCACGTTCAAGGGCCCTCGCGCTAAACGCTTTCAAGCGATCAATTCCGGTTCAGTGATTCCGCACTTGCTCTATTACTATAGTACTATACTGCCTTAAAGATTTATGAACGACTGGGTGTTTAAGGTTAGCGATTTGTCGTATTATCTGGCTGTATAGCAAATGCAATAAATAAATGACTTTACTGCGCAAGTAAAAAAATTGTATTTTAATATTTATGTGTGTGATTTTTAGGGCCCCTTTATAACGCATGCTACAGGCACAGCATTAGCTTAATCCGGCACTGCGTTTCCACCGTACAAATTCTGGTGCCTTCACATCCGTTGCTTTTTTTGTACACGAAGCGAAAAGTTCGGTCTTTTGCTTTTGTTGCGTTTGCTTCGAACTCTTTGGCCACGCAACGCAAAAGCATCGTTGAATGGAGACGCTTACCAACATTGCACGCAGGCACGTGGGGCGGTGGGTAGAGGATATATACGCATGCTGTGCTTTAATTTTGATAATCACAACGAGTCACACCCCCCCCCCCCCGTCACAGATTTTCTTCACTCGTGCCAGGATTTTCGAGTCACCCGCGTTTCGTGCGTACAACATCACAGTACCGAAGCACTTCGGTCCTATATATATATATAAACAAGGATGAACGAGATGAGAAATTGTGGGATTAGACATTGGTCATGGCGTATCCAAATCAATCTGATAACATAACTACTGCATGGAGCTTCCACAGTGATGACTCTTCAGGCACTGGTGAGAATAAATGCTTGTTTCCTGGCCTTTAATATCGCTCACCGGGCATACAGAGCCCTCTAGAGGACACGGCCAACAGTGTTCTCATGTACCTTGCATTAAAAACCCGGGCTACAGCAAAATACAAGTTGGTATCACCCGAGTTGGCGACACCTTTATCGTCAACAAAGTTGTTTTAAAACATTTGTATCGACTTCTGGATGATCAACGTCTTTACATGCTCTGCCAGTCATAGGGTGGGGGTGGTGGGGGGGTTAACTCTAAATCCACGAACAGGGTCAACGTGTTAACTCTAAATGCTGGTCGGTCCATGTTGGTGAAGGAAGCCCCCCAGAACCATTGTAGCTATTCCACGCACGCCACGGGGTTCGTCGAACAGTGCACGAACTGTTACGCCACCGCTCGGTCCTCAGTGATGTGAACTCCCCTTGACTTGACGTGGCACGTGGAGACCATCCAGCAGTGGATTGACACATGGCTGTAGATAATGTATGTAATTTGTATGATCGGGTTGGGACCATGAATGGAATAATTGTGTGCGCCATTTGGGGTTTTCAACTCTTCCACTTTAGGTGACACCAAAAAGTGGAAGCATATTGGTGTCTCCTGATGAGGCTGGTTGTAATTACCGGCAAAATGCACTCGAATTGTTAATGCGGGTTTACTTTCTAACACGCCGGTGTGCTGAACTCGTAAATTATTTTCACGTTTTGTTTACGTGACAAACTTTACTAATTAGCCGTGTCGGGTGGGGTGGCGGGTTTAACGATGCGTTTATATTTACGCGATCTAACCCAATACACCTTTTGTGAAGTGGAAGCATGTTTTGCCAATAATGATTTATCGTGGATTTTCCCCAAACTTGATTTCATCTGGTGCTATCCGCATCGTGTCACGAGATAAAGTATCAAGTTGGAACACTCGTAGAGCAGTGGACCGCCCAGTTGCGTGGGGAACGACCCGCGGAAGTGGATTTCACGTAAGTACTTCTGAGATCCCTTCAAGTACGTATGTACTTATGTTGATCTTATTTTGCACCATACGTAGCCAACCGTGCTGATCGGTGGTGCGGGGAAAGGAAAGCAAACTAAACACAAAAAGTAGTTCTAAAGAAATACGTTTTCCTTCTATATTTTAAAAGTGACTTTCTATCCACATTCCGTACTGTGGAGAGGTATTTATTGCATGCCAATCAAATAAATATTTGTTTAATTCTAAGAGCCTGTATCGCTTGAATAACCAACTTTCATGAGGGTTGTCTTTGTGTACACAGCCATTGGTGACTAAGACGTGACTGTCAACTCACTGCACTTGAGAATTCAATTTAATCACGGGTGGCTGCCTGGGTTTGAACCCACGAACTTTGAAGTGCCAGGTCAGTGCATTGACCCCGGGGTCACGCGGCCACCCCCAACCAAGTGCGCATCAACGCAGAGTAGAATTAACACTTTGCGTTAACACGTTGACCCTGTTCGCGCATTTCTAAATTACCAGAGGCCAACACGAAATGATTTCAAGGTTTTGTTTCTCTCTCTTTGCTGCTTCTCAATGCAGGGGTGAACGTGACGGGTGTTGATGAAGTGGTTAATGGTGTCACCACCGACGACATGATCAGCCGGTATGTGTTATTTGCCTGAGCCTCGACTATTTGTCAACTCAGCTTAAAACAAACAGCAGCATACGGTGAAGTGGCACCATCAGCATTTGGGCGATTCAAAGTTGGAAAGGCTTTTGTGTTGTGCCGGCCTTAATGTTGTCGCTCATTAACGACAGCATTCACCTTAGCGGTATATGAAGGTTAAAAGCGAATCTTATCGTTTCATTAAAAAAAAGTAATTTTATTTATGGGGGTGCTCAAACTAAAATCAATTTCGCCTGTAATTTATCCAGGCTGGGCGACAGACACTGTACTGTAGTTGTACATTCAATCATTTATTCTTGGCCATCTCAGAGTGCAGCCAGTCGAGGTACTTGTCCACACGGGTGTAGACGCCGTACTGGTCGGCTTTGGCACAAGAGATACCCCAGGACACGAGACCCATCAAGTACCAAAACTTACCCTCAACAACGATTGTGAACGGACCTCCACTGTCCCCCTGGCATGCATCCTTACCACCTTGGGGATAACCAGCGCAGAACATATTCCCTGTGACTATTGTATTATGTGTGTAATATTGAACCGACTTGTCATGGTTAGTCTCCATGCAGATATTGTCTTCCACAATGGGCAGTTCAACATACTTTAAAACTTGTGATGTGGTACTACCAATTTGAGCCTTTGTGTGACCCCATCCTGAAACAAACCCCACGTGATGCGGCACCAGTACGGGAGCCACTCTGCCTTCTGTGACCTTTGGGAGACAAATTGGCCTCACAGTGTCCGTCATGCTCACAGGATCGCCAGCCAGCCGGAGCAATGCAATGTCATTGTCGAAAAAGGTTTCATTGGGCTTGTAGCCAGGGTGCATAATTCTCTTGTCCACTGTACGCGTTTCAGTTGAACCCTTGCTGTTGGGCAGTTTTTGATTTAGAGCCCCTAAAGTGATAAATATTTCATGAGGAAGGAAGTCTTCCACCACGTGAGCTGCTGTTATGATCCACCGGTCATTAATCAGGGAGCCACCACCCTGCAGTCCGCCACGATGTGAAAACTTCCTGATCAGAGCCTGCCAGGGGAAGTTGCCGGATCGTGCAGGGTAGCCGCCCACAATACGTGCCACTTGTTCTATCGGGTGCTTGGGCTCTCCGCACACTGCACACAGGAACACGTGAGCAGGGCAATTATATGCCCGTTTTTTAAAAAATGTATGCACTTAACCACCCACGTCTGCATGTGTCCATGCTGCTTAAGTTCAGCCAAAGTCATTTTAGCCATTTTATTAACACTCGATCTGCTTGGATTCCCACAAATACAAAATAAGTGACAGACAACAAAGGTGAAATAAGTAGCACATTGAGATGGCTGGATGGCTGACGTCTGTGCTTCGATTCACACGTGTATGAATGGATGATATTTGATAAAATTCCTTTTAAACACAGGTTGATATAATTGAAACCAGGATGAATTTGCCATATGGCTATTATCTGCAAACTATTCGTGGATAATAGGAGGCCGACGGTATAAAAACACATTATTAAGGAAACAGGTTCACATATCGAACTGTTGAAACCGAGGACACAGTGAGGCACATAGAAAGACAAAGGTCACCCGTATAGCCTCAACAGACTGTTGGGGAAAGTGCTGTTAGTGAGCACCTATGAAGGCCGGCACGGCACACGAGGGGGTGGGTGGCCAGCACCACGCCCGACCATCTTTGTCTCCCCAGTGGCGATGTTCACACGCCCCACCAGGCACTCATTAGAGGCTGAGTCAACCAAGGCGGAGGCCCAGGACCGGTTCAAATAATCGTCACTGGTGTTGCCCGTGAGTAGGGACCGAACTCAGGTCGCTAGGTTCGTAGAACTCGGCCCCCCTCTCCCCCCCACACACGTACCTGGTTCACAGGTTGGGATTTTCTCCCTGTCGAGAGGGTTCGTCCAGTGTCCACTCTCATTGCAGGTGAAGACACCTGGAGAACCACGAACAACGAGCGGGACAACAGCCAAGCAAACCAAAACTTTAAGCCACAAAAATCGGGGTTCATCGCAGCCCGTCAAACACAGCACTGAGGGTGAACCACAGAGATGGCTAATTAAGATGTCACCACGACACCTCAAGTGCCTCCAGGCAAGCCCCCGCTTCTTAGGGTGTATTGTTCCGGGTTCGTCGCACCTTCGTGATTTGTACCACCCTATGTGATGCTGTGCTTTTTGTATCTAGTTTGTTGTCCTGCCCCCGGCAACCTCTGATGAGTACTATTGGCTACGTATGGCGTGAAAGAATTTTAACATACATTACACGTTTTTGTTCTTGAATAAGAAAATAAATGGAGAAAAAAGATTCCATCGCGACAGAGAAACAAAGAATCTTCTTCTTCTGTGAAGTCATCTCAGGCTTAAACGAGTACCAGCAGCACGATTGGGGGGGGGGGGGGGGGTCATCATAGTACCGCTTCCTCTTCTTTTTCCTCTTCTTTCTCTTCTTCTTGGGGTCGACTTGAGGGTTCCAGTGATACACCGCATTGCGGTGCTCGGTTGGACATCAACAAGTCGAGTGGCGATGCCTTCCGGTCCATACTGGTGCACAGTACTCGACTACAGAGTGCACAGAGGGTCACGGTTGATGTCCGTAGCACTGAGGGTGCAGATGCTCCCCAGCATGTGCTTGCCAGTTTCTGGACCAAGTTGACCCTTGTTTTGGTTTAAGGCAGCTACCTTCTTCACTCTGAGATAGGTTGGAGTGGGATCGCGGCGCACGGTGTTGTCGCAGAAGGTCACTTTCAGAATTTGCTTGGTGCTCCTATTGTCAAGATGATTTATGGGGGTTTGGCTTGAGCCTCCACTTTCGGAAATATTCCCCCATTGTGTTTAGGTCTTGGTTCAGAATGGATTCAATGTCGTTGAACGTGGCTTGCTTGCGTTGCCAGGGCAAGGTTATCCGCATAAACAAATTTGCGTGACCCGGTTGGGGGCATATCACTCGCGTAGACATTGAAGAGCAGTTGTGCGAGTGTGAGCATTCCATTGTTGAGGAACCGGGGTGAGCTGGATTTGTTGTCCATATAAACACGCAGTCGGCTATTTCTCAGCATCGTCCACTTCAGGCGTAATGTTTCGAGGCAGGGAATCTTCCTTGCGAGCTTCAACATCAAGCCGTTAATCCAGACTGTGTCGTAGGCCGATGAAAAGTTCACAAAGGCTTTGCCGGTCTTGGATTTCTTCTGGAATCTGGCCTCAATGTGCGTCACAAGGCCCAAAAATACACAACAGCTACGTCCAGGCCGAAATTCCGCTTGTTCTTCAGGGATCACGACGAGGGAGCTGATTCTCCGGAGGATGATGTATTCAAGGAGTTTACAGGTTGTGCACAGGAGTCATATTGACCAATAGCTTCCCGGGTCATAGGTTGACTTGCCCGGTTTTGGGTCGGGCAATGACCATTACCTCCTGCCATGCTTTCGGGACACATTCGGTTTTCATGGTTTTGGTGTACCGGTTTTCCCAGCCATTGGAGCCCCCTTGGGCCTAAGTGATGCAGGAATTCTTGGGGGATACCATCTCTGCCAGCAGCCTTGCCTTTCTTCATTGTAGCCAGACTCTCCCTCACCTCCTCTGTGCTTATGGCGGTGGTGTCTTGTGAAGAAATCGAGGCCATTGTCTGGTGGTGTAATTGGCGATGGAGCTCTCGTTTTGGAGACTATACAGTTGAGCAGCACCCAGGCGTCCTAGTAGGCCCCAGGCACGGCAGCTGGAGTGTGTGAAGTCCAGGGCCTTCAACGGGCTCAGTTCACAGCTGGCGTCCAGCTGAGTTTAAAGACTCCAGCAGGGCCTTTCCAACCTGTGGGCTGCCTGACTGGTTGTCCTGTCGAAGGAGGTCCTCGGTCTCTTTTGTCCAGCAGGGAGTGGATTCTTTCCGGAAGTCTCGGCGGGATGCTCTTCTTTGCGGCTGCAGTAAGGAGGCCAATACAACGGTGATAGCAATCCGGTGTCGTGGGAATTTGACTCGCCACTCTCTTCTACAACCTCATCCTAGTAGTCCCAGTCAGCTCACTCGCTATGAGCACAACATAGTGCGTTAAAAAAAATGGATTCTGTTACGCATTTGTGCTCAGATCCCTTCCACCACTGCAGGGATATAAAAAAAAAAACCTCCTCGAGAGAGAGGGCTCAAGACAGTGCCTCTCGAAGATATTTTGTTCTACCTCGCTACGTTCGCCAGACGTCCTGAAGGAGGTTGGAGTAGCCACAATTTACCCTTCCTTTGCCAAATGCTCGCTGATGTGAAACTGCTCATATACGAGGCACACTTCCGATTAGCCTCGGCACCGCCAATCAGCACGGTTGGTTACGTACGGTGGCAAACGAAGTTCAACATAGGAAAATGTATTTATCTGTTTTAATTTTATTGAATGTGCACAACCTGCCATGACATACGTAATTAATGAACTCGGGCATTAACGAGGAGGATTGAAAGTGTGCAAATGATGGAAAAGCAAAAAAATGTTAATCGTGGGAATAAGTACGGAGATGTGTGCAGGCTTGGAATTTCTCAAAGACATAGACAGAGGAGCAATGTGGATTGAGGAATGTGCACAGGTTGACTGCATCACATTGGCTTTCAAGAAATGTAAGTTGGCTTGGGCAGGACATGTTGCTAGTAACGACAGAGGGCGTCCGCCTTAATTACGGTCGGGTAGCAACAAAAAACGCTGAACACTAGTTTCACGTGTTAGTACTCACCGTCCGTGGGTGTTGTGAAGCGATAGGCATCTGAACATTCAAACGTGACCTTTTCCTTGTATGTTGTAGTTGGGAAGAACGGGTCAGTGTAGCCATGTACGATCAACGGAGGAAAACCGCAATCCACAACTGCCAGAGACAAGACACCAGCAGTGATTTTGATGAAAACTTTACCAACTGTCACATTCAACAATCACTGCCTTATTACGTTGATACATAAAATAACAACCGGCGTTCGCCACAAGTGACGATGATGTCACCACGGCGCTTGTTGCCATGCTAAGGTGCACTTTGAGGCCACGTGACGTGTCGAAGGCCCGCTGGCAGGAGGTCACGGAACAGACTCAGGTGCCATGGGGTTGACTGAGATGACTGGCAGATCCATCAACCGTGCTCCCCACTGTGCCAACTCACACACAGGCATAGGCCCATTTGAGCTAAGGGGAAGGTAGAAAACATATAGCTGGACTCAAAAAGCAGCTGGTATGTGAAGAGGTTTGGAAAAATACTTCTGGTATGTAAACAGTTGACATTATTCAATATTTAATCACAACGTTTTATAATAATAGCAAACGATACGTACATTTTACAGGTTCTATAAATTCGACATCATAAATAAGTTCAGCCGTTTGAGATTCCACAATCCTCATGACTGATACATGATATTAAGAAACTTGCCCATTGTTTGAACTGCTGCACTGGGAGATCTAATCTTAATTTCATTCACCATAGCGCATTAATCAAGACGCTGAACAGAAAATTAGCAAAGGTACAGAAAAAATAGTGAGATGAGTTGGCGCAAAAAGGATGGTAGTACATGAATGTGATGAGGTGTGAAATAAACGATGATGAAAGTGACAATGAGTGGTTAATGATGAGCGAGCGAGTGTGATGAATGGGTAGGGAAGTTGGTGCAAATGATGGGTAAGGGAGAGGAGGGAAGGGAAGTTAGGGTAAGCAAGGAAAAAAAATCAAGTGAGTTTTGAGAGAAAAAAGATAAATAGTCAGTGAAGCTGATTGTTTGACATGCAGGGGAAAGACAAAAGCGTCAGCCGGAAACATTTTGTGATGTTCGGCACGAGGGGAATGGAGCAGTGAGCTTTACTTTTACACGTGGGGGGCATGCGGTCCCACGTCCCGTTATTTAGACAAGTCATCCGCAGTGAATCGGCCTCTTTTCCATTTTCACCCTGCAACAAAACCCCACCACCAACATCATCGCTGGCGGCGGCGGCGGCGGCGGCGGCAGCGGCAGCAGCAGCAGCCACATCACAATGATGATTATTATCATTCTCAGCAACATGAGTAACAACAACAGTAACGTCGTCCATGCGTCCAGATGAATCAGGATTATAAAATATCGGCAGCAGAATACAGAAAACGATTGCACACGTCTCCACACAGACCCTCATAAATTCCAGGATGAGTGAGCAGCGAGTTTGTCATTGTACCAATTTTTTTCATGATGCTTCTTTAATCCAGCAAGATCTCACTGAGTCACAAGACTATACATGAGGAGGGTTTTGGCAAATTTTGTTTTTTGCAGTAGGGAGTGCAAAAGTTGTTGATGTGCGTAATCCCAATTGAGCTATTTGCAGGTCATTTTTTTGCAGTTACATTGCATGCTTTTATCTAAGCTTTCTGGGCGGTGATCATTTCGTGTTATCTTCTGCATCGAAAAATGTGGTCGCGACCATCGTTTAAGTTGTACACATGCACAAATACACGAAGCTGTTCCAATTATATAACCATCCAATTACGCTACCGATTATATATATTCCAATACTTAACGAATCGGATGACACGAAAATAGTTGATGGGGAAAAAAAAAACCCCTTTACCTCTGTTCCCCTGTGTGCCGCTGGACGCGAGGTGATGGGCACCTCTTAGCGACTTCATTGGCATCATCAGCAGCATCACGTAAGTCGTGGCCTCTTGGGAGGTTTCCCGCCTTCGGTATGCAGGATGTCCGAGTGGCCAATTTTTTTTTTTTAAAAGCGGGCCCCCAGTAATCGACGACCACGAAAGAAAAAGTCGCCGATTACAACTTTGAGCCGACTAATCGACGTGAATCGACCGGCCATCCAAGCGTCACGCGAAGTCGCTCCCGCCCACCTGGATGAGTTTGTAGCCGGTGTCACACGAGAACACAATCGCGTCCTTGAAGCGGTAAGTGAGCTGCTTTGGCTCGAAGTAACCATTCCCCAGCGCGTTCACGCCGGGACAGGCGATGCCTGTGAAGCCACCAACAAAGGCGGCGAGTGACGCACGGCAAACACACACATTTTTACCACGTTCGAATGCGTGGAGAAACACAGGCAGAGGGGTCAGGTGGGAGAGGCTACTACTAGTGCGTGGTTGGCTGATTAGTTACGGCCAGGGATAGGGCTCAAGAAGAGTTACAACAAACGGGGACAAACTCCATTGCAATAAGAATATCTCACAATACCAACAGAGAGGGAAACGACACGTGAACGCATTGCCTCGAGTGCTGGATGATTCCGCAACTGACGAAAACAAAACTTGGAAATTGAACGTCTCGAGGAGACACACATATTTCCCAGGGATAGCAGCTACCTAAAAAACACGGGGCTATCCTGGGAAAACCGGGAGAGGTGACAACGCTAGATTTGTTTGCTTGTCTCCTCTGACCCCCCACACAGCTTGCGTCTCCTATCCATTGCAATGCGTGGCTTTTCACTTCTCTTCGTTGGTTTGATATCTGGTATTCATAGCAGGGGTTGGGAATCCATGGCCTGACGGACTGGCTCCACCCCACAGCTTAATCTCATATGGCCTAGACCCACATGAGGGCCCACCACTTAGGAGTGGCCCATAAGCGATGTACAGCGTTATGCATCACTGCACCTTTGCCACACTCTGCCTTCTTCGTATGACTGATGTCGATGTATACGGGAGAGTAAAAACATCTCTTAATTTTGCCACTCTAATCGGGTGCTAGAGGGCACTATTTTTTTGGCGTGGCAGAAGTTACTACTTTTAGCACACGTAGTTTTGCTTCTGTCACGCGATGATGTCACCTGTTTAGTTTGTTGTCCTTCCCGCGCACCTCCGATTAGCACGGTTGGCTACGTACGGTGCGAAAGAAGTTCAACATACACACAGTATATGGGCAGGGAAGCACGCGTTGCATGTGATGTCATTGCGTTGGCCAAATGTATTTTACCCATGATCGTTGGTTTATCATCAGCAAGTTTTGTACGTAAAAATATAAACTATTTCAACTAGAAACATTTTTATTATTTTACCAGGTAAGGCCCACAAAGCTATAATGTGTAGCCAAGTCGCTTCTGAAAAAGAGCTATATAGCTCAGTGGGCGATACCTGGTAAATTAAACATAGTAAAAAAAAGATATAAATTCAGTACACATATCAATTATACCATATCAACAGTACTAGAAATACCACGTTCTTTCTCCCGCCAGCCAACATTGCATTCCCCATTTACAAACCGAAATAATAATAATACTCTTTGGTTCTTTCGGTATGGATTCCTGCAGTCGCGAAAGCTTCAAATCAAGATTCGAAATAATAATCATGCCATGTCTGCACTCCTTTATAAGTCTGTGGGCGTTCTGACCCTCGGAGGTGTAGTGAATCCTCCAGCCCGTGTTGTCCCCAGACTTGTCGCTGGTGAAGACGATCTCGGCCACGGAGCTCTTGGTCTCGATGGGGTCGGGCAGGGACCTCCCACACAGAGGTCCCCACTGCCGGCCGCCCGACCGAATCTGATGCAAGCGCGCGGGCACACGCGACACGAACACGGCACGGGTGTGGCCAGGAGAGCCACGAGGGTTTTGCATCTCGTTGCCATCACTGTCAGTGCGACTGCAGGGGTCGTTAGGGGTCCAGGCGACCGGGCTCTTTGATTAGGCGCCACGGTGGCGAGATGTTAACTACCTCGCCTGGTATTCAGGAGGTCTTGGGTTCTATCCCGACCCTGACGCCTGCTGTATATTTGGAGTGTGCATGTTCTCCTCGTGATCCGCATGGATTTTTGTCTGGATCCTCCGGTTTTTCCCTCCACATTCAGAAACATGCCTTTAGAGTATTCGGCTGCTATACATTTCCACGTGATAAGCCACTTCGTTCAATTATCATTTGTGGCCAATTCGCTTCTTAAAAAGAGCTATATAGATCAGTGGGCCTTACCTGGAAAAATAAAACTATTTACACCATTGGAACCTCCTTTCCCAGTAGCAAAATATGATAATTCTTTTTTACCCTTTTATCTGGCAACAAAACTGACACCTTTTTTACGAGGAGTCATGTTTGCATTGACCACAATACCTGCGGTCGGAATGCAAACAAAAACATAGCTGATAATGTATGCACTGTCCTTGAAATTGATTGGTCCACACCCGAGACAGCTTTGCTTAGAGCCTAGTCTCACATGGTGTTGGACCAGATGACAATGCAAACATGACTCCGTGTAAAAAAAGGTGTCAGTTTTGTTGGCAGATAAAAGGGTAAAAAACCAATTATCAAAATAAAAGTAGTTTTAAAAGACATAATTTCAGTACATAGCTTGTACACACAGTTATGCTATAACTTTAACTCCCAAATTACCGATATGATTAATCATATGTTACAGTTTTGTATTTGAACCGTTACAAAGCTGTATATATTTTTTTGGAGAGGGCCCTCAAATACAAGGCCCTAGGCTGCAGCCCCTAAAGTCCATTAATGAATCTGGCCCTAACCATGTCAATGTCAGGCGAAAAAAAATTACGACTATACTTCATCATCCTGGTCAGTGCAAGGTTTTCAGAGACGCACATCCGACAAAGGGAGCACATCACTAATTATTTACGTACTGAAATTATACTATTTTATGATCAAATAATTAACTCTAGTTATTATTGCTATGCCCACGGACCAAATCTCCTGGAATGTGCCCAACCTCATCAGATCACACGGAGGCTAAAGCTAAGCAGTCTGCTCAGCTTTCCCCGCCCCCTCCCCACGTTACACTTTTACATCTGGCCAAACATATAGAGGAGTAGGCCGAAAATATCCTCAAGCAGGGCTCTGTGGAGCTTCTGCTTGTGGACGCCTTTTCCGCTAGAATTGACCTGAGCAAGATTTTTTTTAGTGCTGCACTTTTACCTTTGTCGTCGTCACCATTACCTACCGTCAGGCTGTCGTAGGGGCATGTTTTGATTTCGGGGTGAATCTCCACGTCGAAGGTGTCCCGGAAGTTGAGGGTCAACAAGTAGCCCTCCTCCAGACGCAGCGTGAACTTGCATTGCAAGGCCCTGGGGTACGGCCTGGGGTATTCGGGGCTTGTCACCTCTCCTCGTCGCTCGGTGAATTCCTGGCCGCTGCACTCCACTGGCGGACGAGGGGCACCATAAGTTCTGGAGTTTGGCAATGTGCGCCTTCTAGAAAGCCACGATCCACGAAAAAAAAAGCAAATGGATGTTATCTTTTAGAGTAGGTGCGAATCGAGGCCAGGGTTTACACACAAAGTGTTTGCCACAAATGAACCACAACACCTTGCTGATCTCGTCAAGGAGCATGAATCATCACGCGAACTCCGGTCATCCTCACAGCGGCTTTTGGCGAGCCATCGAATGAAGACGATCACCGCATCGCGCGCTTTCAAATGCGCTTCTGCGGCTGTCTGGAATGCTCTTCCTTCCGATATTATGAAGACGCTGGAGCTATACACTCTTAAATCTAGATTCATTTCTTAAAAACTGCTTTTTGTGTTTAGTTTGTTGTCCTTTCCCCGCACCTCCGATTAGCGCGGTTGACTACGTACGGTGCGAAAGAATTTCAACATACATACAGGATTCTTGAACGATATTTTTCGATGGGCCACATCATAGCATTTGTCGTGTGCTGGCAGGCCACGTTACGTAATATGTTGTGGAAGGGACATGTTGTAACGTCTCTACGTGTGACGACTAATATATACTTTTTTGTTGTCTCTAGGCCTCTTATCTCTCTTTTGTTTATCTCCCATCACACTCATCTGTATCTCTTCATGGCTAGCCATATTTCTCAACAGTCCATGGCGTGGCAGACCACTACCTCACTCCAGGGGTCATCGCGAGACAAATCTGGCCCACAGGCCGTCAGTTGAAGAATCTTGTTGTCGGCTGTCTTACGAGTCTTTTTTGTTTATGTCATCAACAATAATTACTTTATTGAGATATTCAGGAGCAAAATGTATGGCACTTACATAAGCGGTAATGTCACGAGCGTACATTGGCATGCTTTTAGAAGTGACTCGAACAAACGTTTCATTCTTCAACAAAACTAGTTTTGGATAGTATGTGAAACAGAGCCAAGGTATATAGATGTAGTGGAGTAAACGATACGCATAGGAATTGGCCACATACAGTACATACAGACATACAAGGAGAGTGGGTCACATGAGGTCGAACAGGTGGTCGAGTCACGGGTGGCGTAAACAACCCGAAGTAATTAAAGGAGTCGTGGCATGAGGGCTGTGATTGGTTGAGAGGCTGTTAGCGTTAAGTGGCTGCGTCTCGAAGTCGGACCGTTGGACAGGTGCGAGCTGGCGGGAAAATGGCAGCGAGCCACGTGGCAATAAATTAAGGCTAAGTGGAAAGGGGATAAAACGCTAGGTGATTTGAACGGGGAGTTGAGTTGTTGTTGGGCAGTTGTTGGCGAGAGGTGGAGAGATACGAAGAGGAGAGCTGGCAATGTTAGGGAAGAATAGATTGAGAGCCGAACCCAAAGGACAGTAAATAGCGATAGGGAGAGTTAGCGTTAGCGGAGAGGTAGTTACGGAGGAGATAGGTACAGGAAGAGTTACAGAGAGAGTCACTGTGTGTGAATAGACAGGCAAGTCACTGTGTGTGCGGAGATAGATAGAGTCACTGTGTGTGTGGAGATAGATAGAGTCACTGTGTGTGAATAGATAGATAGAGTCATTGTGTGTGACTAGATAGAGTCACTGTGTGTGCGGAGATAGATAGAGTCACTGTGTGTGAATAGAGTCGCTGTGTGTGATTAGATAGATAGAGTCACTGTGTGTGAATAGACAGACAGATCACTGTGTGGGCGGAGATAGCGGAGGCACTGTGTGTGAGGAGATAGAGGAAGAACCACTGTGTGTGGAAGAGGATGCGCGGACGATGCTGAGGTGAATCGGAGTGTCCGAGTTGGCGGAGAGCGAAGAGAAGAATCACTGTGTGTGTGTGTGTGTGAAACTATATTGTGTGTGTGTGTGAAACTATATAGTGTGTGTGTGTGAAACTATATAGTGTGTGTGTGTGTACGGAACGATGAAATACAAGTGACGGTGGAAGAAAGATGGTTGTCGTCCGAGTGAATTCACGGCACTACATATATAATCACAAAATAAAAAAAAACTTAATTACGTGTATTATTGGTGGAATATTTCCCTAATGTGGCCCCTTTCAGCTATGGTCTGTCAGCATGGTAACCAGAATAACACAGTGTGACCACTGCCATGGCGGTGTGGCCCATCTTCCCACATTCAAACACACAACAACAACAACCGCCGTTTACCACTAAATGGCAGTGATGTAACCACACTGCTTGTGCCAGGCTAGGCTCGTTGACAGGTCACGGGACAGTTGCTTGGCAGTTTACTGCTCCGAGTGAAGGACTGCCCGCCGCTCGTGGTGACTGGAGCCAGAAAGAACAAAGACACACACACACAAAGGTCCCCCGTATACCCTTAACATACTTTAGGGGCAAGTGCTGTTAGTGAGCACCTATGAAGGCCGGAACAGCACACGAGGGGATGGGTGACCAGCACCACGCCCGACTGCCTTTGTCTCCCCAGTGGCAATGTTTACATACCGCACCAGGTACTCATTTGAGGCTGAGTCGACCTAGGGGAGGCCCAGGACCGGTTCAAATAATCGTCACCGGTGTTGGCCGTGAGCGGGAATCGAACCCGGGTCGCCGGGTTCATAGTGCAGCGTAGCGTAAACCGCTACACTACGCAAAGACAAAGGCACACACACACACGCACCTGTGCAGGTGCGATCATCCTGGTCCAGTTGGTACCCATAGCGGCAGGAGCAGTGAAACCCGCCGGGGTAGTTGTAGCAGTTGTGTTGGCACGCCTGCTCATTGCCGCCGGCGTCTCCCTCGACGCACTCGTTGATGTCTGCGGGGCGATGCAGGAGGAGAGAGACAACGACAGAGAGCGGAAGCTGCTCACCCCCCCCCCACCCCCCGTTCTTGTCAATCCACCGCTGGATAAGGGACCTCCCCACGCTTGTGCACATTACGGGGGTTATTTTGACCATACTTCACCACGGCCGCTCGGTGCCGGTCGCCGATGGCGGCTCGCTTCGGCGTTGGAGCATAGCGGTACGGTACAACAATGGACTTTTTTTGGGCGCACCGCCCTGCAAGCCCCGTGTCGATGCATTTTGCGCGCGCACGATTCGTTTGCTCACCCTGAGCGCGATCGACGCTCCGAGCCTCTGCTTAGCTTTGAGTTCTGCCGAGATCGGGCGCCTATCCTCGGGCGGCAGTTAGCGCACCCCCGCAATGCAGCAGCGTCCGAGCAGTGACGGATTAAGGTAGTGCGAGGCCTGTAGCAATGATGTTATAAAGGGGCTCTGAATAAATAAAAAACACGTAAATATTAAAACACGAATTTTTTTAACTTGTATAGTAAAGTCATTGTATTTTTTCATTTGCTATACAGCCAGATAGTACGACAAATATTTAACTTTAAACACCCAGTCGTTCATAAATGTTTAAGGCAGTATAGTACTATAGTAATAGAGCAAGTGCAGAATCACTGAACCGGAATTGATAGCTTGAAAGCGTTTAGCGCGGGGCCTTGAAAGTGCGGGGCCCGTAGCTACTACACAAGTAGTAGCTACTTTTGCTACTACGATAATCCGACACTGCGTTGGAGGCGAGCGTTGGTGGATTGCACAGATGTCGCGAAATACCATTTCCCTGCCCCCCTCCTGCCCCCCGCGGGACGCCGCTGTGGCTCACCAGGAGAGGGCAGTACAGCAAAGAAACAAAACATTGGACTCCCACCTCTTGCGTCTCTATGGCCACGCGAGGGTTGTCTCTCCGGGCGCTTCAGTTTCCTCGCACAACTCTGGCTGTCGCCTGATGAGGCCGGTTGCAATAGCCGGCGAAACGTCACGCTCGAATTGTAAACGTCCTGGGTTTGCTCTCTGAACACACCGGGGTTGTGCTGGACTCGTAACTAATTGGCATGTTTTCTTTACGTGACATACTCTTGCTAATTGGCCGTGTCGGGTGGTGGCGGGTTTAACGGCACGTTTATATTTATGCGATTTAATCCCTAAAAAAAAGAAAAAACGCTTAATGGATTCCCTTCACATGTTTGGCCGATAACATCTTAATATATAGAGGCCTGCAGAGCTTGAGCATTCATTGGCGCCGGCTCACCACCTTGGCTGCCTTTCCGCTTATTCTGCGGTTTTCTCTCCATGCCTTGCGTGTCTCTCTCTTTGAGAGCCAGCGCCGTAAACCGTGCAGTGCCCTTGCATGGTTCAAATTTACCCATCGTCAACCGGGGCGTGACGCTGGCCATACCCACGGCGGTGAAGTACGCCTTGAACCCTGTGAAGCGCTCCTCGTTGGAAAAGTCGGTTCTGAGGGTGACGTTGATGCTGTTGCCAGAAGCCACGATGAGCTGGTTGCCCGGTACGTGTTCCCCGTCCATGCTCTCTTGGCCGCAGAAATTGTCCAGTGATTCGTTACCGGCTGAGACCTGCATCCGCACCAAGAGTTACATCATCGGGTCGTGCTCATGACACAACAAGGTGCTTGCTGCAAATTAATCACAAATACCTTGCTGGTCTCATTGAGGAGCATAAGGCGTCGCGCGAACTCCGCTCATCCTCGCAGCAGCAGCAGCAGCAGCAGCGGCTTTTGGCTGGCCATCGAACAACTAACGGCGGTCTCCGCATCGCGCGCTTTCAGATGCGCTTCTGCGGCCGTCTGGAACGCTCTTCCTTCCGATATTAGGGAGCCACTGGAGCTATGCAGTTTTAAATCATCTAGATTGAAAACTAATTTCTTTAGAAGTGCTTTTTGTGTTTAGTTGGTTTTCCTTCCCCCGCACGGTTGGCTATGTACGGTGTGAGAGAAGTTCAACATACATCATACATACGAATGCCCAGCAATAATTTCACAGAGGCTGTTCGTACTTGATACACTGAGAGATGCTGCCGTGGTGTGGTGAGCACGCTGGTCCGACAAATGTGATCTTCCTAGGTGGCAGTTGGAAAATGCAAATTTTACCTCAGCTAATGTGGAATGCCATGACCTGTGTAAGGAGGTGTGTCGTTTCAACATGGCACGTTACCATAGTGATGTAATGGTTATATATGTTTATTTTTTTATTTTACTAGGTAAGGCCCACTGAGCTAAACAGCTCTTTTTCAGAAGCGACCCGGCCACAAATGATAGCTCAACGAAGTGGCTTATCGCGTGGAAACATATAGCAGGGAACTACTCTAAACGCACATTGATGCTAAATGTGGAGGGAAAAACCGGAGGACCCAGAGAACAATCTACGCGACCGCGGGGAGAGAGACACCGCACATTCCACTCTGGGATTGCAATCCGGGCGAGTTTCTTAAATGCCCTCTTTCCTTCGTCTGCTCGGCAGCATAAATGGATGCACCACAGTCCATCGGCGTGTCACGTGCGGTGGAGTATCGCGCGGGTACTCACATCTCTTCCAAAATATCTGGCCAGTGTGGAAGAGTAGGTCAAAATGTTCTCTAAGATGTCTCTCGAGATCTCCCTTCCGATTACAGGGCTGCACATTTACCCACCCTTGTAGATTGCAGTATACAGATCCAGGAAATTTTGAGGCCAAACGCCTCTGGCAATCAACGTCTGGTAACTCACAGATTGTCAAGAGTTCTGTCTGGACTTTTTGACAACAGGTTGGGCACGTCACAAAGATTTAGCTAAAGTCACTTTGAAGGGAAACAATAAAATAATAATAATAGAAGAGGCGGGAGTGCCCACACTTCACCTCCTGGTCAACGAACTGTGGCGTCATTTTGATTTAAAGCTTTCGTGACAGCAGGGATTCATCATATTCTTGGTTCTTTCGGTAAAGTCACCACGTAGAAGGGAAACAATGAAATAATAAAAATATAAAACAATTCTCACTTTTATTGTTTTATATTTTTATAATTTTATTGTTTTATATTTTTTATTATTTTATTGTTTCCCTTCAACGTGACTTTACCGAAAGAACCAAGAATATGAATCACTGCAGTCACGAAAGCTTCAAACCAAAATATTTAGCTGTTTATTAATATTTGCCCCCCCCCCCCATCCAAGGAGTGGATTTACGAAGAGGATGTACACCGGCCCAACGCGCCCCCAGCCCGCGCCGTGCACCACTGCGCTCGTCACAAATCTCTCCCCCGCCCCCAAAAAAAAAAGAACAACCCGCGGACTGGATTGACCTCTGACCTTGACGTAGTCATACTGGCACTTGACGGACGTCTCCAGGTCGAAGTGCGCAAACTGCAGGCGCGCGCGGTACCCGGACGGCACGGAGATGTGCCAGGTGTGGAGAGCCTGGTCGGGGTACGGCCCTGGGTAGCCCGGAGACTGGATCGACCCGTGCAGCCCACAGACGTCGTGCACTTCCCCGAGCGCCTCCTCGCCGTTGTCCCCAGAGGGTGTGCACTGTGGCAGCAGCAGTAGCAGGGGCAGCAGCAGCAGTCGCAGCTGGCGCATGCTGGGAGGCGAGGAAGCGGAAATGAAAGGACAGTTTAGGTTCCTGAAAACACTCCTTGGTTGGCATAAACCGTGGTTGGCAAGACCAAAGGCTTATGGAAAAATAGGGGGTTACGTTCCGCGGCCGCGGTTAACACTCGCATCGGTAGCCTAACTACGCACCCTATGCATTCAGTAAACTTGAGAAATATGTACAGTACAGGGTTATTCCCATCGCTGTACATGATAATAATAGTAGTAGTAATGCAGTGAAAGCTGGCTCATCCTGACTTTCAATTATCCACTCTTTCCATAAACCGCACCCCTAAACTCGATCCACGAATATTTATGCTGTGCGCATGACAATGCTGCATAAAATACACGTGCTCACCCACCGAACTGACAGTGGTAGGGAAATGCATCGTATTATCCGTGCTTAATCTGCAATAGGGACACAAAGGTGTGGACGATGTGCAGAAACTTCCAGACTGTGAAAACCCAACTCGAGACGCATAATAACCTGAATAATACAAAATAATAACACAGATAAATAAGCATATTTTGGTATTTGTGCCTTTTGTAAGAGCACAAGGTTATCGCTAAAGATGCCATGTTTAACAGCCGAGTATAGTCTGCCAGTGGTGGTGGGGGGGAGGAATGTTGTGATGTGATTTTACCCGATTAAGTAATTTGCAGGCCACTAATCAAGTTCGGAACATTTGAACCGTGATGCCGGCACACATGGCCTACCCCCGTTCTAATAATGTTACTAGGTCTTTATTGTCCACTGCGCGACAGCAGGCGTGATGTTTTTGTTCAAGGTATCTGGGATGCTTGGAATGTTCTTGGAATGTTTTTGCATGCGCGGAGGAATCTGGATTATACGGACTAAACTCACGCATGCACGGGCGATAACACCCACAGATCCGCGAAAAATGGTAACGTGAGCCCGTTTGCTGCGCTGCCATCTCACGGCATTGCGTGGACGATCGTTTTTTTTAAGTTCCACAAACGCAGAGCATAGTGCGCACGGCAAATAACAGCTGCAAGTTTCACTTTGAAAATGAAATAAAATCAAATACTTTACAATAATGATACATTACATGTGTAAGGACGGGACGGGGTCTAGTGGCCGTAAATAATAATTGAAGTGACAGGCAGGTTCAAATGAGGCGAGAGAGAGAGAGAGTTCGGGGAAACAGGGGCGTGGCTGAGTCGAGGGGCGTGGCTGAGTCAGAGGTTGGAGATGAAAGGCAGCGCGGAGCGGGGCTCAGGGCTGCTGTCGTCATCTGGGAGTGGATCGTCCTCACCCTCTGGAAGCGGGTCGCCTTGGAAGACTAGGGGAAGATTATATATCGTCTCCGTAGCTGCTGCTCCATCAGCTCCTATATAGTCAGCCAGATATATAGGTGAACGTCGTGTAGTAGTTACATGAAGTTACCCACTGTACAGTCAACTCGCGTCTACCCGTTAACATGCCATCGAGTCGGGCGGACCGCAATAAACAAATATATATAATACTTGAACAAGAGAATGTCTACATTACATATGCGTAAAGTATTTGTTTTACAAAGTACTCTCGGCCAGTGATTCGACTGTTTACCCCTTGTTCTTTCAACCGAGTACCCCGTTGTCTGACCCAACATAGTTCTGAGAAACAAATGTATGAATAACGAGCATCAATAATTTAAGCATATTGAGCACGATGAATGTGACAGTCTGAGGCACATGGTATAAATCCACCTCGCCTACCCCCTGGGACACTGGCACATACCCCTAGGGTTCCATGAACCACCGCTCTGGGCGGTGTACATCAGATTGAAATAATTAGCCAATTGGCCAAGGGTCAGGAAAAACTAAGAAGTATCGCAGCTAATTGAGAGAAATGAAAGCGAGAGAACAGACGCGCTTGGAGGTTTCCGTGGTCTCCGAATCGCGACCAACACTCGGCGCAGGGCTCCTCAGACAGGCAGCGGCACGACAGAATCAATCATCAGTCAACCAGCCTTCCTTTGTTGCATGGAAAAAAGCCCCCTGTGTAGCCAGTTACCCAGCTAGCTTGCAAGGGAGATCCGTGGTGCCATCAGCACAGAACGAGGACAACAACGTCAGAGTGATCCGTACAGAGGAACCATCGGGGCGTTACAACAGAAGGCACGGTCACCAATTGTGCGATCGACCGATCGTACTTGTGTAGAGAAGTGTACAGTCGTAGACAAGACATGAATGGATACCCAATTAATGTTACGATCAATCAGCCATGGATTGATGCATCATAAAGTGGCAATGTTATATGATGTTACGCCTCCTATACAATAATACGTTTTCATGAATTTACATTTTTTATATTCATATTCAACTCGTCAAAATACACAACAGGATGTGATTCCAGGAATGGCCTCAGCCTGCGTACCTACAAAATCTGACCATCATCGCTGTCCACAAACCCTGACCATCATCGCTGTCCACAAACCCTGACCATCATCGGTGTTCATGGAGGAGCATCATACTCGACCTCAAGGGATCCTAGATGATACACAACCACCGTAACCTACTTACGTTCACTCACTTACATTCAATTTAAACGTGTGCGACATATGCAATATTAACATTTTACCGGTGATACTCGGCGACTTACTCTGATGTGACACAAACTGCACGGTACATTAATTGCTATATACGCACTCGCGTGAAATTCCTGGCCAATGTTAAAAGCGCCAATGTTAAGGACGTGTAAACAAAAGGACGGCGTGGCAAGCGACAGGCCCCACCGCGTACGGCGCTGGGAGGATGAGCACCCACCCTCGACTGGACATCCGTGGAAAAGAGCTTTATAGCTCGTCGGATTCCTCCAGCAAAAATATTCTGACCCCCGGGTAGACAGCTCAAGGGGATGCGGCGGCCACCGCGCGCATCAGTGGCGCCAAAAAGGAGTGGAGACAGAGGGGAGAAGAAGCAGCAGCAGCAGCGGATAACCGAACTGGGGGGGCAGCGATATCACCGAGGGCAGCAACAGTCCCCCCTCCTGCCCCCCAAAAGACCCCCAGGGGATTGACGAAGACCTGCGCGTAGGCGATTGGGAAGAACTCACAACGGCCACATGTTCCTCGCCGCCGGCACGGTCCTCTCTGCCGCTCCTATGGGAGATTTGCTTGTCCGGGCTCCGCTGCCCTCGCCGAGTGCGGGAGCAACTTCGCCCCCAGCGCCAGGAGACGGTACCCAGAGCGCACTGAAACATGCGGCGCTGACCTACTGATTAACCACAGCAAACACTCAGAATCCACAGTGCCCTGGCGATATAAACACAAGCCACCTCAGATGGGGACACACACACACAAACAAGACCACCAGACTACTGATAGTGGAACTTGAACTCATAAATGTAAATTTTTAATATGTTAACCATTTTTAAAAAATATTAATGGCAAAAAGAAATGCATAGAGCGTGGTCAGAAAAGTGAATGTTTTTGTTGTTATTACTAAATAAATACTAAATAAACATTTCAAATTACACCAAGGGAAATGTATTGTCATAGTCTGCAAAGGCTAGGCATAATGGGGTTTGATATTCTTGAGTCTTTTCTAGAATCAGATTGATTGTATGTATGTTGAACTTCTTTTGCACCGTATGTCGCTAATCGGAGGTGCGGGGAAGGACACCAAACTAAACACGCAAACAAATTGATGGTAGATAAACCTTTCCTAAAGCCGATTTCCTCATGGAATTGGTTGGCCTCTACATTTCTCAATAATACTGGTAGGAACCTCCTGGTTACACCAGCCCACAGGGGATTATTGTGTCCGTCCATCGTGCATCCAAAAATGGGAGGGGTGGGGCTGGGTGGAGAGGGGAGGGGAGGGCCTGGGTGGGGAGGGAGGGGCTGGGCGGGGAGGGGAGGGTGGGGAGGGGCTGGGTGGGGAGGGTGGGGCTGGGCGGGGGGGGGAGGGCCTGGGTGGGGAGGGAGGGGCTGGGCGGGGAGGGGAGGGTGGGGAGGCGCTGGGTGGGGAGGGTGGGGAGGGGCTGGGTGAGGAGGGTGGGGCTGGGTGGAGGCTGGGAGGGGTGGGGCTGGGTGGGGAGGGGCTGGTCACCCCGTGGTGCCCTTATAAAACTCAACGTTTAACCTACTCACGCCGGCTTGTGCCCACCCTCACAGTCGGGCATATTGTGCGGAATACACCACGCCGCCGTTGACCCTGGCCATTGACCGAGCAACCCAAAGTTCCTACCAGCTCCCTCCGCAGGAATGTGTTTCCAATTAGCCCTTTGAACCATTTATATACCTTCCCATAGACCTATCCATTACACGAGTAATGGCGAGCTCCTGTGTTAACTGCCGTCGAACGTGGCGCTGTATTGGACGTTCGTTTGTTCGTTCGTTCGAAACAACCAGCGTCACTGTCGGGAAAAGGTTCCCTGGCACCGAATGGCTGAGCGAGTGGCCGGCGAGCGGACGGGCGAGCGGACGGGCGGCACTTGAACTGCGTCCAATGGCAGAGATAACGAGCGGAGAGAGTCCGAGACCTCCCAGATCGATGTAACTTAGCGAACACGAATCTCACCTGCCGTACGTCGATAGCGCCGTAGTCCGGAAAATGACGACGCTAAATTGGCGACGTTCCGGCTCATGGCCCTGGCTGTTCAGGGATTTTGTTGGTGATGTTCAAAGCGTTGCGGAGAAGGCTAGACTCGCCGCTGTGAGCGTGCACTTCTCCATCGAGCATCGTGATGCCAAACGATATCAAACCTCACGATTTGACGATCGTCGCAATGTTTCCCGTAGCTTGTTTTGTAACTGCGATTGGCATATTTATGTATAAGTTTGTACGCTTTTCTGTAAACAAAAAAGTAAAGACTTGTTTGAGAGTTCTTCAAAGTGCAGTTCGCTCAGAGTAAATCTGCCTCGAGTCTTTATAACCGTTACAATGTATGAAATTTATAACGCAGATGCTGCCCATCACACTAGAAAAAATTGTAGTAATTCAATATACTACAAAAATGAAATGTCATATAACTGCAATTGCAAATTCTTCAACGAGTCCAAAAATATATCGCTTGTGGATCGCTCTCCAACATTGCCAGAGGTGCTGCTGAAGCAGTCATAATTTGGCATGATTGTTCATCACGTGACAACTTTATGAATTGGCTGTATCAGGTGGTGGAGTGTGTACGACACAACATTTGACTCACGCGATCTGGCCCAAAACTCAATTGTGATTAATCGTAATATTGGTCGCGAAAGCCTGCACGTAAAAAAATAAAATCAGTTCTTGACTTTATTATTTCGTAATATTTTGTCATGACAGACCATTTCACGACGTAAAACAAGCAACAATAATAATAAGCGCGATTTGGTATTTAAACGGGCAATACGATGATCATGCTTGTTTACATCGTACATGTATTGAGTGTCGCCACATCGCGACGACTCCGACTTCCCACTTAAGCACCACGCGCGTGCTATTTAAAATGTGCACGTTGGGCATGCGCTTTTCCGAAATCTATTTGCTCGCTTCTCGCTGTTTTGCTAAATTTCTGCAAACATCCCCCTCCCCACCACTCCAATCCCACGTACACAAATGTGCGCGTCATCTCCAAAAGTGCCACTTGCATTCATCACCAACACGTAATTCACTTTGAGACGAAATGAAAATCAACAATCATCCACTCGACGGCAAGAAAGCCAGGGCAGAACAACACAAACAAGTCACCCAAAAGTACGAACAAAGGGCAAATATACGAAATTGAAATTGCTAAATTTCAAGTTATGATGGCTATACTTCAGGCTTTAAAAGCTACTCGCCTACCAGGGAATGCGTGCACAGGCGTACGCAATTTCCCCCTAAACTGCCTGTGAACATATGTATACTGTTAAGCTGACGTGTTGCAATGCTTAGTTGCATACTGGACATGCAATCCATAGGTTGTCAAGTTTGATTTCCCGGCATGGCAGCGGGTATAGATCCTTAAATCACCACCGACTCTGTCCAACAAGCAGCCGAATGAACACGCCGCAATTACATTCTTGGTTCTTTCGGTAAAGTCACGTAGAAGGAAAACAATAAAATAATAAAAAAATATAAAACTATAAAATAATAAAAATATAAAACAATAAAAGTGAGAATTATATTGTTTTATATTTTTATTACAATAAAAGTGAGAATTTTATTGTTTTAATATTTTTATTATTTCATTGTTTCCCTTCTACGTGGTGACTTTACCGAAATAACCAAGAATGTGATGAATCCCTGCTGTCACGAAAGCTTTAAATCAAAATGACGCCACAGTTCGTCGACCAGGAGGTGAAGTGGGGCACTCCCGCCTCTTCTAAGACACGTAGCCAGTATAACAATATGTTTAATCCTTGCTGGCAATAAAACAGTTGTGTCAAGATGTTAAAACACCAAACAGGATCCTTAATCAAGGAATCCTGTCTGCATTAACCACACATGCTTGTGGTGAACATGCAAACAAACAAATAATAGATAATGCATTGTCTTTGAAACTGATTGGTCCACACCAGAGACAGCTTTGACAATGCATCATATAGAATTATCAAGGCATTTTTTTGCATGTTCACCACAAGTATGTGTGGTTAATGCAGACAAGATTCCTTGAATAAGGATTCTGTTTGGTGTTCTAACATCTTGACACAACTGTTTCATTGTCGGCAAGGGTAAAACCTATTGTTATGTTTTAATAAATACTGGCAAGAAATGTCCCACATGTAGCCAGCATGGAAGAGGGTGCCTTCCAGAGCAGCGATTCTCAACCGGGGGGTACGCGTGAGGTGATTTATGAACGTGCGAAATAATATCTTGCGTTAGAGTCATTGGTGAAGAATCAAGTTGTACGAATCCGCCAATATTAAATAACTACGATACATTTTAAATCCATACGTTAACCTGCACCTTGCTAAACTCGTGGATCGTAAACAGCGCGAGCGTGATAGAATAACGTCACGCGTGCAGAGCTTCCGTTGAAATTAATATTTTGTTGATTTTTATTCACTTGCAGTTACTCAGCTAGTTAGTAAACCTCACAAAATAAAAAAAAATCCGCGTTCATTTATTCGCTGGGTCACTCGGTTGAAACAACATTCAACAAGGGGGGGGAGGGGGGGATAACAGCAGTAGCAACACCAACATTGTTGAGAACAACTGCTGCTCCAAAACCTCTCTCAAGTGGAGGCCCTCCTGCCCAGCAGTGGTGTGAGGAGGGAATCACAGGGCTGCACCTTTACCTTTTCATCTCTCTCACACATTTTTTGGGTTGATTTTTGTTTGCGACTGTTTACTGTGAATTGCTGCTTGTAGCTTACGGAATGGCTTAAAACCCGCGGCGTGTCGAGTAGTTGCACGAACATTAGATCGGTGGGAACGTTAATAACATTGCAAAAATTATGGGAGTGGTGGCACACTGGTGAGTACACCGCACGCAATGAACCCCCGAAAGCCAGACACATGTTTTGGCCACGGCTGACGCTAGAAGCCGAGTGATTTCTGAACTGTTCCTGGCCCCCGCTTAACCCACACTGACTAGTGTGGCGAAGTATGTTCAAACAACTGCCATGACTGACAGGGCGAGGTGGGGAGGCTTAATCCAGAAAGTAATTTGACATCACCAAACGCACGTACGTTCTACGGGTGAGTACAGCACGGCAGCACCCACCGGCACAATGTAAACCACTTGCTGTGGTATCGTGGAACAGCGTTGGCCGAGGAAGAAAATAACAAAAACGTCGCGCGCACGCATGGACGGCGCATGAACGCTTTCCAGACACGCACTTGTCAAACGGAATGATTTTATTTTCGACGTCAAACGGTAGGGCTCAGGAGGCCTTTATGCGCGTGGGTTGCGAGGAGACAACGCGGGTTCGGATACCGGCTCTGCTGCCGGGTGGCAAGGGTCGCCCTAGGCTGGCAGGGGCCAGGTTGGTCAAGGCGCTTGGGGTGCGGAGGGGTGGGGGGCATCCGACTCACGTTTCACCTGGCAAGGCAATAAAGTATCCGCTCGTGTGCCGGAGATTAATTGCGGCATCGCCCGACCGTGATGGGGGATGACGTGGGGGGGAGGTCTTCATCCAGCAGTGGATGAGTGATGGCCAATTAATGATGCTTTAATTCACAGCTATTGACTTACACGTTTCGCACTTTTTCGATTGCAAAGCGCTCCGGGACAACTGAATAATAATAACAGCGACAATTTGTAAGGCACCGTGGCGAGCCATCGCGAGATGGGAAATGCTGTATCATCAGCGAAAATTATAATCCCTATGAATAATACACGTGTTCGGGACGCAACGTTGATCTTCGTGCAACAGCGGGAAGATCGTGATGCACATGAATGACGAAAGCGCGGAGGGGTGCGTGCTCTGAATGAAACCGAGACGCGGAAAGAGCAACGCGTGGATCGGGAAACACGCCCGCGTGGAAGAACGTGAATCCAATTCAACAAGACGCTGCTCAAAGCCGCGTCGCGATCGTGGGGCCCGCTAGTAATCCGACTTCACGGCGTTCTTCTCCATCTCGTCGCGCAGCCAGCCCAGGTACTTGTCGACGCGGGTGTAGACGCCGTAGAGGCCCGGCTTGGCGCATCCCATTCCCCAGGACACCACGCCGACCGTGAACCACTTGGTGTCCTGGACGACGACGATGGGTCCGCCGCTGTCGCCCTGGCAAGAGTCCTTGCCGCCCTCGGAATACCCGGCGCAGAACATGTTCTCGGTGACCGTCGAGTTCGTGTTGAGCTCCGCGATCCACTTGCCGCTGTTGGCCCTCTCGCATTCGACCTGCGGCACGACGGGCAGGTCGACGTACTGCAGGGTGTCCGCCAACCTGGCGCCGAGGGTTCCCGCCGTGCGACCCCAGCCCGACACGAAGGCCACGTCGTTGGGCGACAGCTCGGGGTTCACCCTGCCGCCCGCGACCACCGTCGGGAGGCAAATCGGCCTCACGCTGTCCGTCATGGTGACGGCGTCGCCGGCCAGCCGGATGAGCGCTATGTCGTTGTCATAGCCCGTCGATTTGGGATCGTAGCCAGGGTGGCTGATGATCTTGTCCACGGTATAGTGCTGGGTTGATCCCAACAGGTTATCGTTGAGCGACACCCTCTTCATGGAGCCCAGGATGACGGTGGTTTCGTTCGCGGCGTAGTCCTCCACAACGTGCGCCGCCGTGAGCACCCAGCGGTCCCCGAGGAGGGCGCCGCCGCCGCCGAGCATCCTCCCCGACATGAACTTCACGAGCACCTGCCACGGGAAGTTCCCCGGTCTCGCAGAGCGGCCGCCGACGACGCGTGACAACTCCATTATCACGTGCTTGGGCTCTCCGCACACTGCAACACAGGGAAGGTGGGTCAGCGGAAGGAGGCATCCCGACCGCTCCAGGTGACGAGTGACTCGAACAGCAATATCCTTTTACCATGATAAAGATCTAACCTTCCCCCCCCCCCCACACACACACAAAAATCCTCCTTTATTATGAATAATAGTGGTCGCGAAAGCCTACGTGTTAAACCCTTTAACCTACTGAGCGATTGAGACATGCCAGAGTGGGGCAAAGCAGGGCCAGGGGCAGAGGCTGGGAGGGGGGGTTAGTGACACGTTCCTTGAGTTGAACGCAAGCGGCACACAGCTCCAGGCCTTACACCTCGTTTCCACCGTACAACCGAGCCGCGCCGCAGGGACGATACCGAGCCAGCCTGGCCGTGGTGTGGGAGGCGCTAGATTTTTTTTCCATTGCAGAAGCCGATCCGTGCCACCGACGTCACATGCGATGATCGAGTCGAAATGCACGGCATGTAGATGACACAGTGTCGCTGTGCTTGGGCAAAGTAAAGATACTAGAATTAACATTTTAATTAAATACATTTGAAACGGTTGACTTTGCGGTGCCTATGATTAAATTACTACAACGAGCCTGACCTCGTAACCCATCGGGAGCTAAGCAGATTTTGAGCGTGGTTAGTGCTTGGATGGGAGGCCACCGCGCGGTATGAAGGGTGTTAAAGGGCTGGCTGTGTGGGGTGGGCAGCAGAGGGCAGTACAGAAACATCCTTGGTTGCGTTGCATTTATCTGCCCCTTGCGTTGTCAAGTGTGGCGAAGTATAACCAAATAACGCCATAACTACTCCCACAGCATGAGAAGGCCCTCACATAGCAATGGAGCGACTCGAGAGCCGTACATATATGGTGAACGTCTTTTGCACCGTACGTAGCCAACCGCGCTAATCGTAGGTGCATGATTGATGACAGGAACTGACACCTCATGATAATCTATAGTTCGCTCCTCACGGCTTATACTTTACAGCCATTGTCGGTTATGGGGGAGGGGTTATTTGACCATACTTCACCATGCTGGTCAGTGCAGGTTGGTGAAGGTTGGTCTGGGGACAGCAGAACCCAGGAGCGGTTCTGATATACTCGCAACTAATGGCAAACAACGAAACACACTGATCATGAGGTGAGTATTGATTATAAAGCTGGGATGATGAGTCGATTAAGTTAATTAATCCGCAAAAAAAAAATCTACATAAATCGTAATACTGCCCCCTGAAGGCAGGAAACCCCCAACACAAGCTCCAACCGCGCATGGCGCGGCTGATGACGTCACTCAGCCACCACCTCCCGTCCAGCGGCAACATGGGAACACAGGCAAGACGTTTTCCTCTTCTTCTTCTCCCTACTACTGTCACGTTATCCGATTTAGTCGAGCGACAGGAACCGATATTCGTTACAGCAATGATTTCACATAATCAGACAATGCAAACATGTGCAGCGTTGGCATGTCCACAATAAAAAATAACGTCGTAGTTAGTTTTGTTTTTTATTCTACAGCAGCATCGTCCATACGAAATGCGTCGAACCAATCGCTGTGGAGCCACAGACCTGATCCGGAAGGTAGCTGCCAGGCGCTGAGGATCTGGCGACTGTGCATGTTGACATGCTTTGTTGATGTAAATGTACCCACCGGGTTCACATTTTGGGACTTTCTCTCCACTGCGAGGGTCGGTCCAGTGTCCACTCTCATTACAGATGAACACACCTGGAGAACAGAAACATGTTCACAGTGATCAGAATATGCATTTATACTGGAGAAATCCGGTGAGCTATAAAGCTCTTTTTCACAGATGTCCAGCAGGGGCACGGGGTCAGAACGTTACAACAACAACCAATACACAAACACGATTGAGTGCAAAATATAGCAAACGTAAACAAATCACTTAAAAATATATACAAATCAAACAAGTTTTTTTTTATCTTGCCAGGTAACGCCCAGTTATTAGCGTCTTCTTTCAGAAGCGACATGGCCACAAATGATAGCTCAAAGAAGTGGCTTATCACGTGGAAATTCATAGCAACCAAATACTCTAAGCGCTTTTATTCTAAATGTGTAGGGCGAAAAACCCGGAGGACCTGGAGAAAAATACACGCAACCACGGGGAGAGAGACGCGTAAACTCCAAATATACAGCAGGCGTCAGGGTTAGAATCGAACCCACGACCTCCTGTATACGAGGCGAGGGAGTTAACATCTCGCCACAACAACAACAACAACACAACGTATAATACCATTTAAACAAATATACAACCTCACCGTTCATTTCCGTGGTAAAGTGATAGGCATCGATGCATCCGCAATCCGTTTCACTCTTGTAGGTGGTGACGTCCGGCGAACCGCAAAAGCCTTTGTTGGGCTGTGCCGGTTTCCCGCAGTCGACAACTGAAATGGGAACACGGCCACAGATGAATATCCCCGTCGGCAGAGGGCAGTACTTGTGCAGCAAAACGTCGAACGCTTCTGCTTTCACAGCAACAAACGCCGTTTGCGCCATCAAGTGGCGGTGGCGTCACCACAGGCCCTCGTGCCAGGCTCGGGGCACCTGGAGGCCAGGTGAAGTGTCGAAGGGCCCCCGCTGGCAGGAGGTTACGGAACAGACCGAGGTGCCACGGGTTGGCTCACCGAGATGACTGGCAGGTGCACCGGCTGCGCGCAGTGGATTGATCAAGTTGCCGCACGGGCACACGTCAAAATAACTGGCGACTTTGACAAATGGACAAAAAACGATTTCGTCCACGTTTACGTTCGGATTCGCAGCGGTCATTCTTTGGCACGTGTCGTGCGATTAGAACTCTTCTTACTTTGCCATTTGAAACCTAAAATAAAACTAAAAGGCATGTATATACATTTCAGTACATTTCATGCTTAGGCTATATTAAGACGTGTTAGTAAGTAAAGTTGAATCGCATGCGTGTAGATATAGAGCTGGGACAGACACACTTGTTAAACGAATAGTTTAATTTTGGTATATTACTCGGGAACCTATAAGCCAGAGTCAGACTAGTTATACTGGAGAAATCCGATGAGCTATAAAGCTCTTTTTCATAGATGTCCAGTAGGGGCACGGGGTCAGAACGTTACAACAACAAACACTACAAACACGTGACATAGTTCAAAGTACAAGATAAGTAAACAAATCACCCAAACACGCAATACTAAACCATCCCCATCCCACCAGGCAAAGCCCACTGAGCTATTAACTTATTTTTCAGAAGCGACGTGGCCACAAATGATAGCTCAACAAAGTGGCCCATCATTTAAACATTTATAGCACCAACATAATATAAATAATCTCAAAGCATGACATGGCTGATGATGATGCTGATGACATCCCCAAATTCCGCCATTCACTTCCCGTCCAGCGGCACACATGGAAACAAGAAACTCCCCCCCCCCCCCCCAACTATTTTCGTGTTATCCAATCAGTCGATTAATTGATTCGATATTTGGTAATTTATTACTTGATTGGGTAAAGCTGGTCTGCTTTTAAGAACATCTTTTAGGAAAATATTTGCATTATAATAATGAAAATGGTAAAATTCAGTTTTTATAAAGCAGCCAGTGTGTATGCATGTTGAACTTATTTCGCATGGGTGATATTGATGCAGACTGGAAAGTAAAACTCTTAATTTTTACTAGAGGGCAATATTTTTGGCATGCCAGGAGTTTTTACTTTTAGCACACGAAGTCGCTTGTGTCACGTGATGACGTCTTGTGTTTAGTGTGTTGACCTCCCCCCGCACCTCTGATGAGCACGGTTGGCTACGTACAGTGCGAAAGAAGTTCAACATGCACACAGTACATGCATGGGGAGGCAAGAACACATTTCACGTAACGTCATCGCCTTTGCCGAAAAGGCTTACCCATGATCGTAAGTTTATCGGTAGGTATTGTATATATATAGAACATCTTTCGCACCATATGTAGCCAGCCGTGCTAATCAGAGGAGCGGAGTGAGCCGACACCAATAATTGCCCAAGCTTTTCTATATATAACCACATTTCAGCCAATTAATGGGTGTCAACATATGTGGGAAGAAACCAGAAAAAAACTCTAATGTGTGAGAGAGGGAAACACTCTATCCCATACAGAAGGGACAGATGGACCACCTCCTGGCAAGCCAGGGTATGACACCTCCACGCCCGTGGGAAGGGAGTTTGACAACATTCGTGTGATCCACCAACCCTTGCTTCCGGAGTGCTCAATTACTGGCGTAGCGACCACCACCACCACTACAGTTTGATAACCTTCGCGTTCGTGTGATTGTGAAGCTTACTGCGACAAGTGGGGGGCTCCCTGCTCCACGTGCCGTCTTTCTGACATTCCACTTGCAAAGTCGCTGGTACCTCCTTGCCATCTTCCTGCTGCACAAATTCGTCGTCATCACCAGCAGCGTAAAGAAGATAGTTCATTGTTACAAACGGCGTAGGTGCAGCCCTGCGATCGCTTGCGCACGCCACTGCTGACATCTCGAGAGAGCCCCGCTAGAGAACACCTCGAGAGGGTACGTGACCTACGGTTCAACGCCGGCACAGACGTCTCGGAAGAGGCGTGAATCACCCACGATTTACCCCGCCAACACCAACACCCGTCATTCGCCACTAAGTAACGGTGATGTCACCAGGGAGCCTGTGCCAGGCCAGGTGCACTTTGAGGCCACGTGAAGTATCGAAGGCTCGCTGACAGGAAGTCACGGGACAGACCCAGGTGCCATGGGTTGACTGACTGAGATGACCGGCAGATGCACACCAGCTGTGCTCCCCACTGTGCCAACTCGCTGAATTTTAGCTGCCCGGCGCTCCGCTCGTTGTTGTGAGCGTCGCCCCTCTGCCCCCCGTTGTTGCTGGAGGGCGACTGCCTCCAACTGCTCAGTAGCGGCGTCCTTCACGAGCCTCCTCCACCGCACGATACCTGTCAACCGACTGTCACGTACTCGTGCATACCACCGTGTGGAAGATATCGCGGGGAAACAATAAAATTAGTTTTTTTTTTAAATCACTCACCCATCAATGTCCACGCGGGGGTACATTCAGAACACACCACGGCTCACTGGCGAGTCGCATTTTGGTGGGGTAAAGTCGTGCGTAACTCTCACCCACTTCAAAGACGTCTGGCTCAGTGTGGAAGATTAAGCCGAAACATTTTCAGCTTGGCTCTCCAACACACCGGTGTGCTGTACTAGTGACGAATTGGCACGTTCTGTTTACGTGACAACCCTTATTAGTTGGCTGTGTCGGGTGGTGGCGGGTTTTAAGGACACATTTATATATTTATGCGATCTAACCCAAAAAAAAACCTCTTATGGATGATATTGGTCGTGAAAGCTGACTACGTTTTAAACTAATTTCCTAAATATTCTTGGTTCTTTCGGTAAAGTCACGTAGAAGGGAAACAATATTTTTTATTATTTTATTGTTTCCCTTCTACGTGACTTTACCGAAAGAACCAAGAATATGAATCCCTGCAGTCACGAAAGCTTTAAATCAAAATTCATTTCCTAAATGTTTGCTCTACAGCTGCCTCTAGTGGAAGCCCTTCCACCAGGGCCCTGCGGTGGCTAGGAGATGTTAACTCCCTTGCCTGGTATGAAGGAGGTTGTGCGTTCGACCCCTACCCTGACGCCCGCTGTATATTTGGAATTTGCGTGTCTCTATCATCTTTCTCCGGTTCCTCCGGTTTTTCCCTCCACATTTAGAAACAACGCGCGTTTAGAGTATACCGCTCTACATTTATACGCGATAAGCCACGTCATTGAGCTATCATTTGTGGCCAGGTCGCTTCTGAAAAAGAGCTATATAGCTCAGTGGGCCTTACCTGGTAAAATAATGAAAAAGAGTTTATATCTTGTTTTCTTTTAGCAGCGGCATGAGCAAGTAATTGCAGGGCTGCTACAACTTTACCTTACGTGCCGAATGGCATTCGCCGTATCGAATGTGCAAGCCGGTGCCTCTTGCTGAAATGTATGTTTGCCACGATTTAACATTCGATGGGAGGTACATTTAATATGTGGGCAGAGAACCGGGTGGTGGACACGTGGATAACGGCTGTCGGGAGAGACACGGAAAATAAAATTTCTCATCGCCTTTACCTGGATCAGCCTGTAGCCGATGTCGCATGAGAACACCACCTCATCCTTGAAGGAGTAAGTGGCCTGCACTGGTTCGATGGAGCCATGCACTGGTGCAGTCACATGAGAGCACGGAATACCTGGGAGACACAAACAAAGGCAAAGACCCCCCCGTATAGCCTTAACAGACTGTTTGGGGCAAGCGCTGTTTGCGAGCAGCACCTATGAAGGCCGGAACGACACACGAGGGGGTGGGTGGCCCGCACCACGCCCCGGCCGCCTTTGTCTCCCCATCGGCAATATTTTTGGCACATCGGACTAGGTGCTCAATTGAGGCTGAGTCGACCTAGGAGAGGCCCAGGACCGGTTCAGATAGTCGTCACTGGTGTCGGCCCGCGAGCAGGAATCGAACTCGGGTCGTCGGCTTACGTAGCGCAGCATGCTAACTGCTACACTACCGCTCCCCACTGGGAGACGCACGCACGCACGCACGCGTGGTGATCGATAGCCTGAAAGAGGCGCTATGGTCACCAGAGCTGGTTTATCCTTAGGGGCCGTCCATAAATGACGTCACGCGATTTTGGACGATATTTTACCCACCCCCCCCTCTCGTCACACGGCGTCACAAAAAGTCAGACCCCCCCCTCAAATATGACGTCACAAAGCTCTACCCCCCCCCAAAAAAAAAAATATAAAACACGCTTCAAATCGCTTTGAACTATTGTCATTGTAGTGCGTTTTTAATGTGGCGCTGCACTCTGATGTTGGAGGGGAAAACATTTATTAAAAAGTATATTTAATTAAGTAGAACGTGTTGTCTATATTTATTTAAAGTTGCGAATTTTTACGTGACGTCACATTTCTCAAACACCCCCCCACCCCCCCTCGTCACACATCGTCACAAATGTCTGACCACCCCCCCCTCCCCCCCCCCCCCCAGGTACGTGATGCCATTCATGGACGGCTCCTTAGAGGCTTGGTCACTTATGTGCCGTGAAATTCCGTGCGCATTATAAGTCACATCATTATTGTTTGTTTTAATACAATCATTTAACTAATCGAGTATGCTATCGATTATTAGTTCGATTACTCGACTAATCGGAAAACACAAAAATGCAGTCGTACATCACGTGACTTCCGTGTGGCCAACCCCACTCTCCCGGCCGCCCACTCTGAAAACAGACTCCGCTCCTCCGTGCAGGCGTCACGGCTCCTGATGCAGCCTCTTCCTCCCCTCTCGTCGTCTCTCCCTGACCCTTGGCTCCCGTTTCTCCGTTCCCTCTCCTCCTATTTCCCAATGCGTCTCTTCTCTCTTCCTTTTCGCATCTTTCTCTTTCCACTGCATTGCATTGCTGGCTCTACTCCCCTTCCCCGTGGCGTGGCCGACGGTTAACAAACAAAACAAAAATGTTGCCCAGTGTTGCCAATAACGCCTTTGCACCGTGGCAATGCGAACAGCCACGCACTCTTAGCAGTGTAGCGTAGATTCCAGCCCTTGTTCTGTCCAGACGTGTCACTGCGAAAGACGACCTCGACCTCGAAGCCCCTGGTCTCGATTGGGTCGGGCAGGGTCGTCCCACATAGCGGCCCCCACTCCTTGCCGCCCGAGCGAATCTGTTACGAGCACGTGGACAAGCAAAGACAAAGGCAACGCTTCCCCTGTATAGCCTCCGGATACTGTTGGGGCAAGTGACCATGTCTGACCACGTCCGTCCAGTGCTCGTCGAGCTGCATTGGCTTCCGGTTGCCGAACGAATTCATTTTCAGGTCGCACTTACAGTGAGGGGAAAAAAGTATTTGATCCCCTGCTGATTTTGTACGTTTGCCCACTGACAAAGAAATGATCAGTCTATAATTTTAAAGATAGGTTTATTTGAACAGTGAGAGACAGACTAACAACAACAAAAATCCAGAAAAACGCATGTCAAAATGTTATAAATTGATTTGCATTTTAACGAGGGAAATAAGTATTTGACCCCTCTGCAAAACGTGACTTAGTACTTGGTGGCAAAACCCTTGTTGGCAATCACAGAGGTCAGACGTTTCTTGTAGTTGGCCACCAGGTTTGCACACATCTCAGGAGGGATTTTGTCCCACTCCTCTTTGCAAATCTTCTCCAAGTCATTAAGGTTTCGAGGCTGACGTTTGGCAACTCGAACCTTCAGCTCCCTCCACAGATTTTCTAGGGGATTAAGGTCTGGAGACTGGCTAGGCCACTCCAGGACCTTAATGTGCTTCTTCTTGAGCCACTCCTTTGTTGCCTTGGCCGTGTGTTTTGGGTCATTGTCATGCTGGAATACCCATCCATGACCCATTTTCAATGCCCTGGCTGAGGGAAGGAGGTTCTCACCCAAGATTTGACGGTACATGGCCCCGTCCATCGTCCCTTTGATGCGGTGAAGTTGTCCTGTCCCCTTAGTAGAAAAACACCCCCAAAGCATAATGTTTCCACCTCCATGTTTGACGGAGGGGATGGTGTTCTTGGGGTCATAAGCAGCATTCCTCCTCCCCCAAACACGGCGAGTTGAGTTGATGCAAAAGAGCTCCATTTTGGTCTCATCTGACCACAACAATTTCACCCAGTTGTCCTCTGAATCATTCAGATGTTCATTGGCTAACTTCAGACGGGCATGTATATGTGCTTTCTTGAGCAGTGGGACCTTGCGGGCGCTGCAGGATTTCAGTCCTTCACGGCGTAGTGTGTTACCAATTGTTTTCTTGGTGACTATGGTCCCAGCTGCTTTGAGATCATTGACAAGATCCTACCCTGTAGTTCTGGGCTGATTCCTCACCGTTGTAAAGATCATTGCAACTCCACGAGGTGAGATCTTGCATAGAGCCCCAGGCCAAGGGAGATTGACAGTTCTTTGTGTTCCTTCCATTTGCGAATAATCGCACCAACTGTTGTCACCTTCTCACCAAGCTGCTTGGCAATGGTCTTGTAGCCCATTCCAGCCTTGTGTAGGTCTACAATCTTGTCCCTGACATCCTTGGAGAGCTCTTTGGTCTTGGCCATGGTGGAGAGTTTGGAATCTGATTGATTGATTGCTTCTGTGGACAGCTGTCTTTTATACAGGTAACAAGCTGAGATTAGGAGCATTCCCTTTAAGAGTGTGCTCCTAATCTCAGCTCGTTACCTGTATAAAAGACACTTGGGAGCCAGACATCTTTCTGGTTGAGAGGGGGTCAAATACTTATTTCCCTCAATAAAATGCAAATCAATTTCTAACATTTTTGACATGCATTTTCCGGATTTTTGTTGTTATTCTGTCTCTCACTGTTCAAATAAACCTAACATTAAAATTATAGACTGATCATTCCTTTGTCAGTGGGCAAACGTACAAAATCAGCAGGGGATCAAATACTTTTTTTCCTCACTGTATATTCAAGACTCGTGTCAGCCAAGGGGAGGCTCAAGGTCAGCTCAAGTTCAGTTCAAGGTCAGTATCGCGATCTAACGATTGACGGATGGGTCTCCTGGCACGGCGGTTGGAAACGACGGTACACATTCCCCAAATCCCCGCGCCCCTTTCCACTCCGCAGCGTGGGTGGGTAACACCGCAGTCACTCCGTCAGCGGGTCACGTGTGTGGTGGGGTCAATAGAGAGTACTCCCACCCCGTTTTTAAAACGTTTGGCCAAGATACTGTATTTCTAGTCGAGGAACTTCCTACGTATGCATGTATGTTGAACATTTTTTCGCACCGTACGTAGCCAACCGCAATAATCGGAGGTGCTGGAGAAGTAATAACATTTGATATTGCGCACTCTTATGAGTGCAGTCCATCACGAATGCGCATTGATCACACGTTGAAGTAGGCTCTCCGAAACAACACCAACAACAACAATGTTTTGAGTCTGTTGCGGAACTGGCTCAGACTCGGTGATGCAGGTCTTTGGGTCGGGGACCCCGAAACTGCTCTAGTATCGCACGCGAGGTTTACACGCGGGTACAGCAGAAGGACAACGAAATAAACGCAATAAGCAGTTTTAAATAAACGAGTTTTCAATCTAGACGATTTTAAAGTGCGAGGCTTCCTAATATCGGACGAAAGAGCGTTCCAGACGGCCACAGGAGCGCGTCGGAAAGCGTGCGAGACGCGGTGGCCTATCATCATTGAAGAGATCGCAGCGGTGCGCATTTAACCTTTTGACCTACCGTGAGGCTGTCGTAGGGGCAGGTGTCGATCTCATTGTGGGTCTCCACGTCGAAGGGCCCCTGGAAGGCGAGGCTGAACGTGAAGCCCTCCTCCAGACGCAGCGTGAACTTGCACTGCAAGGCCCTGGGGTAGGGCCTGGGGTAGTCGGGGCTTGACAACTCGCCCTGCCGCTCTGTGAACACGAGGTTGCTACACTCCACTGTGGGATGGGGGTGGGTGGGTGGGTGGGGGGGAGACGTGCAGATTGCCACACTTGCAGTCGTGGCCAAGGTCGGACTAACGCGGGGGGCTATAGGGGCTGCAGTCTTGGATTTGGAAGAACCCCTCCCAGAAAAATAAAAGTCTGACACTGGTGAGACAGTGCCATAAAGGAGGCTGTCTCTGGTGTTTGTTTGCACGTTCACCAGAAGAACAGTGTGTGGTTAATGCAGACTTGAGTCCTTGCAAAATGTATCTATTTGGTGTTTGAACATCTTAACACCTGTTTTATTGCCATAAAGGGTTAAACCTATTCTCTGTTTCTTCATTTGATGCCAGTGTTAAAATAAATGAAATTATCCGATGCCTCCTGACTTTTGAGGCCACCCTGTGTAATTAACGACGTTTCGATGTGAAATTGCAGCTGTTGCCTGCATCGACATCAGCCATAGGAAACAAGAAGAAAAAGAAGAGAATGGTCCTTCTGCATAACACATGAGGGGCCATTGCTCTAAATGTTACCGATTATACATCTACTTGTTTTTAAGACCACGGTGTTATTGACGAGCGGTGTTAGGCCGGCACGGCACCCAAGGGGGTCGGTGGCCAGCACCACGCCCCGCCGCATTTGTCTCCCTAGCTTGCGATGTTTACCCACCGCACCAGGTACAAATTTAGAGGTTGAATCGACCTAGGGGAGGCCCAGGACCAGCTCAAATATCCGACACTGCCATTAATCGTGAGCGGGGATCGAACCCGGTCCGTGGTGAGGTGCGCCACTGCCCACTACCCCCCCACCCCCCCCCCCCACGCATTCGTGTTTCGTTTCGTGATCCCCCGTGTAGCCTTAACATACTGTTTGGGGGACATTGACATCACCGCATTGGGCCATCGCACTCGCAGCCCGCACCTGTGCAGGAGCGATTATCGTCTGCCAGAACGTAGCCGTACTGGCAGGAGCACTGGAAACCGCCGGGGTAGTTGAAGCAGTTGTGGTCGCACGCCAGCTCGTCGACGCGAGCGTATTCCTCGCACTCATCGATGTCTGGGAAGAGCGGGCGGGCGGGCGGGGGGGAGGCAGAGCTCAAGGCAAGAGTACACCAGACGCGGTGGCGTGCGAACATGTTTAGTGAGCTACACAGGGGGCTTCAAAAATGTTTTTAACGCTTCTGAGAATTTGCAATAATACCACGAGAAGTGTGCCTCTGGGCCCTGGAGACCTCTGGAGACCACCTGGAGAAGATTCCAGGCATGTGTTGACAATAATGGCGACTAAGTGGAGACTCTTTGACGTTTTTAAGCTATTAATAGACATTTGTTATCATGTTGCTGTGTATTACCCGTTCTTTTTTCCATTAAAAACGATCGTCCCATTTAAGTGTTGACATTTGTTTGAAGCACCCTGTATATTAGCCAGACTCAGAGCCAGGTCTAGAAACTTCCCAAGGCGGCGTTGGTGATCGTGGTCCCAAAATTCCAATCTTGTTTAAACAGGGCCCTACATCAAAATAAATAAATAAAGACATTGAAGGGTTTTTTTGGGTCCCTTGGTTGCCATCAATAAAATACGAATTTTGTTGGGTGGCGAATCCAACGCCAGATTCGCCACTGGTCAGACATGTGCCCTACAGGTTCAGGAGGCACAGAGTTGGCACAAGACATTAAAATACGTGGGTATGCTCTCTATCAAACATGACATTCTGCAAAATACACATCCCGGTTATTAACACGTCATGATAACGCAAACAAGACACATGAGCAACACAACCCTTTAGACAACGGATATTCGAGGAAGAAATCGTGAGATAACCTTCAGCAATTGTTTCCACCTGCGTGTCATAGAGTTGTGGTGTCATGCCTTGAATACACCGTCGTGCTTGGGCTGGACACGGCGCTGGGAGTGAGGTGTGACGGACGGTGGCTGAGACTCTAACACCGGAGTGGCAGTCACGAGGGAAGGAATGTTCCCGAGAGTACGTCACACCGCAGACATGGAGTGGTCGTAGTCAGCTCGTGCGCAGGGAGCCGTGTGCATCGCTACCTCACGGGACCATTGAGAGATGGTGAGGGCCTTCATCTGGCAGCGGATTTACCATGGCTGATGATGACGGGTATGAATATGAGCAATTTTAAATAACAACCAAAAAATGTCAGTTATCATCACTCCTCAACCCTGAGTCAAGAGCCCTCTCGGCCCGAGAGTCACCACCTCTGAGCTACAATAGACTGAGACATACCATGGAAAGAAGACGAAGATCCCCACGATACCACAAGAGGGGAGGGCCACATGTAATTGCATTGCTTTGAGTGGTGCATTATTGCGCAACTGAGAAACCACGGGATTTCTCATGCCCTGGTGAAGGCTTACATGGTAAAACACAGACCAGGGCCAGGCGACAAGCCTCGTCGCACCTCCACACCAAAACGAACACATGGGAAACAGGAGTGGCGCCGGCCGTACCCACGGCGGTGAAGTAGACCTCAAAGCCCGTGTAGCGCTCGTCGTTGGAGAAGTCCGACACGAAGGTGATGTCGACCACGTTCCCCGGGGTCACCATGGGCTCGGCCTTGGGTGCTGTGTTCCCGTTTTCTCGCCCGCAGAACTGGCCCAGGATCTCATTTGTCACCTCCACCTGCACACGTCTCAATGCAGGGCCACGGAACTTGATCGATCGTCGGCGACAGTTCTGGCTGCCCCGGCGTCTGCCGGGTTGAAACATCTCATCTCGTTCCGGGCGAGAGATCTCAGCCATTGGCGGAGGCCTCGTTTTCAGGGAAACCCGCCTTGTTTGACTACAGCGTGGTGGCTGTTACTGCTTCTTATTCTGCCTTTTCCTCACGTCCATCTCACCACATGCCTCTCCCTCACCTCTGCACCCAGTTTCCCATTTGCATGGTTTACCTATGCCCCCCCTGTAAGGTTATAAGTTGTATTTCCCAATTCACAATTCACCTACACCCGAATGTCCTTTTCATTTCACGTATATAAGGCTCTTGTTGGGGCAATTTCAAACTCGATCCCCCACACGGTTGTTCAAAGTTGATCTCAGTTGACCACTACACCATACATAGTACCCCACGTACCGTGGCGTAATATGACCCACAAGGTCATCCATGAGGCCTTCAAACCATACATGCGTGCGCTGAAGTTCTTTCGCACCGTACGTAGCCAACTATGCTGATTCGGAGGCGCGGGGTAAGGACAACAAACTAATCGCAAAAACGTAGTGGTCCATCTTAATGGAGCTAATGTAAAAATGCAACAACAACAAAAACGACTCCACCAGGCTTCTGTTTGTAAATCACATCCCACAACATTCGTAACCGGCCGCCCGCCGTCGAAAATGCCACCTCAACTCGTCCGCCCCCCGCTAACCGCCGACCCCCATGACCTCTGACCTTGATGTAGTCGTACTCGCAGCCAAACGACGTCTCCACGTCGAAGGACGTGAACTGCAGTCGCACGCGGTATCCCGACGGCACGGAGATGCGCCACGTCTGCCGGGCCTCGTTCGGGTACGGCTTCGGGTAGCCGGACGACCTCACCGAGCCATGCATTGCCGACAGGCGATGTTCCTCCACGACCGACGGTGCGCATGGCACCAGCAGCGTGGACAGCAGCAGCAGCAGCGGCGGCAGAAGCAGCCGGGGCCTGCTGGGCAATGAGAAGTTTGAGACGGACCGATTTCGTCGATACAGGAAGGGTTGACCCCCCCCCCAACCCGCCCGTAGTTTGTGGGATCGCTGTGCGAACCCAACGCACGTATATCGATGAATAAACGAATTCCTTGCTTTTTTAATTACGTCACGGTGATCTTTGAGGTCCACTGCGAAGTATTAACCGGGGCGGCCGCTGAGCTCGAACCTAAACGCCTCTTAAACAAGCGCCAATAGCGCTACCATGCGGCCATTCTCACAGGTAGGTACTTGCCTGATCGGCGGAATAGCTACAGGCTGCAGAAGAGCGCAGATTCAGAGAATTGGCTGAACGAAACACACCGCAAGACGGCCACAACTCAGTTAACGATGAAACCCGTTAATCGCTCTGATGCAATCGTCACGTTCTTGTGTACTGGATGAGCGTCGATAACGAACTCACGGTGTAGTGGACACCCCCATGCCCTTCCTCTGCTCTCTCAAGTCGCTTTCCGACGGGACGAGTTGGGTTTTCTCTGCCGCTTGCTCGTTCCTCACTCGGCTCGTGGGTGCAAGGGGCACCCCTCGGCCTCAGCACCGGGTCGAGAAAGACAGCGATGGAGAGAGGCCCCACCAGAGCTCTCTAACCCCATCCGCGAGCCAACATAATGAATAACCACGGCAAACACGTCTAACACTGGTCAACAACCGTGGTACACACAAGGCCGAGGAGAGATATGGATAGCGTAGCCGTGCATTCTGTTAGATATTGTCTGCGCATTTAATATGTTAACCATTGACGCCAATGTTTTTTTGTACTCGTATGTTTTTGGAGCAGCTAAAAAAACGGAACAAAAATCAACCGTACGCAATGTATAGCACAGGTTAAAGTATGGTGCTGATTGTTTGAACGGTGGAAGTATACAGCTGTAGCACGGATATGTCCTCATAATTACAGACAAGTTAAATATGCTACATTGAAGAACACTGCTGGCAGATGCATCATTTTTGTTTCTATATGTAGATGCATAATAGAATAACATTATCTGATGTGTTTTGGCTTCTGGTTAATGTCGTCTTTTCCACAGACCAAACCCAGACCTAAATGGCAGTCGGCCTCAGTTAAACAAACCTTTGTGGTACATTGCAATATGACGCCGGTTCCAGATAACAGCACAAATCAATTTCTGCCACCCGAACACGGGATTAACTTTATGCGGTAACAACCCACAAGTACGACAGAGAGTATCCAACATAGCTGTTTGCTATGTTGGATAGCTGTTTGCTAGCTGTTTGCTATGTTGGATACCTGAGTCTGTGGTACATCGCACAAAATAATCACGACTCAAAACCGGTTTCAACATTTAGTGTCTCATCAGGCACAGGCAGGCTTGCTTGAATATCGAAGCCTGGTCCGAAGTGTCGCTTAGCGTTGAGCTCATGTGGCTGCAATGATGCAGTCCCAGAAGACCGCACGGCAGATGGGGGATGCGTACACAAAATACGATTTTCTCTACGTGGAGACAGATGCGTTACTGTGTTGCTGAGAAGTGGACTTTTTTTATATCGAGCCTGTGCGGTGGCTCTGTTGGTCAGAGCGAGTTAGGGCGGCATTTTTTTAAGATTAGTTTCTCGTTGAGGAAAGTTCAGCGATTTCCCGAAATAGTCGCCGCCGCTTTCGGTAAAAAAAAATAGCTGAACCCATCGGGAACGCGACGCGGGGAGTCAAGTGCGTGGCGTGTTTGCGTTGTGCGATAACGCGCGCCTAGGGTAACGTGCGCTGGGATTCAGTGCCGGATTATCCTAGTAGCAAAAGTAGCTACATGTGTAGTAGCTACGGGCCCCGCACTTTCAAGGGCCCCGCGCTAAATGCTTTCAAGCTATCAATTCCGGTTCAGTGATTCAGCACTTGCTCTATTACTATAGTACTATACTGCCTTCCACTTTTGCGAACGAGTGGATGTTTAAGGTGAGCGATTTGTCGTATTTTCTGGCTGTATAGCAAATGAAAAAATACAGTTACTTTACGACGCAATTTAAAAATCAGTGTTTTAATATTTAAGTGTTTTTTTTAAATTTAGGGCCCCTTCATAACATCATGCTACAGGCCCCGCACGAGCTTAATCCGGCACTGGCTGGGGGATGCGGTACCACAGACCCGAGTAAAACGGGTGGCTCCATCCGTGACATTGTGATGGTAAATGGCAGTTCTTCCACTAAGTGTCACTGCAGCAACACCCGGGACTCGAGGAATTGAAACACACAACTTTTACGAACAACGCTGTATAAATAACTCAGCGTAATCATTCGCGGCGTTGTGGAGGATATGTATATATATTTGTTTAATATTCCCCACAACGACAGCAGCTCTCCCGCTATATATTTTCACCTGATGACGATTGCTTGTGTTTTGCCATCGAAACGTCGTTATCATTTTTTTATATCTCCGTGGCTTTACCAAAAGACCCAAAGAATATATAAAATTATTATTTTGAGTCGTGCATTGTAAAATCTTACGTGGAACTGGGACCCACATCGATCACATCTGGCACTTACAATCATTTCAACTTGTCGTCCTCTCTATCTATGAAGGTGTTATCGGCCAGTTAATGAGTTGCTGGCACGTGGTAGGAAACCGGAGCGACTCAGGAGGAAACGCACACATCCGCGGAGGGAGCACTCTGTCACGTACAGATGGAGCACGTGGAGTTCACACTTTAGCTGCACTGCCTTCTGTAGGGAAGCCAGAGCATGGGCTCCTCCTCGAAGTCCACCAGGAAGGGAGTTTCCCAACATTCGTTGCGATCCACCAACTCTTGCCTCCACAGTGCCGGAGTACGGGTGTGCGAGTACAGGTGTGCGAGTACAGGTGTGAGTACGGGTGTGTGAGTACGGGTGTGTGAGTACGGGTGTGTGAGTACAGGTGTGTGAGTACGGGTGTGTGAGTACAGGTGTGCGAGTACAGGTGTGCGAGTACAGGTGTGAGTACGGGTGTGTGAGTACAGGTGTGTGAATACGGGTGTGTGAGTACAGGTGTGTGAGTACGGGTGTGCGAGTACAGGTGTGCGAGTACAGGTGTGAGTACGGGTGTGTGAGTACAGGTGTGTGAGTACGGGTGTACGAATACGGGTGTGTGAGTACAGGTGTGTGAGTACGGGTGTGTGAGTACAGGTGTGCGAGTACAGGTGTGAGTATGGGTGTATGAGTACAGGTGTGTGAGTACAGGTGTGCGAGTACGGGTGTGTGAGTACGGGTGTGTGAGTACGGGTGTGTGAGTACAGGTGTGCGAGTACAGGTGTGCGAGTACAGGTGTGAGTACGGGTGTGTGAGTACGGGTGTACGAGTACGGGTGTGTGAGTACAGGTGTGTGAGTACAGGTGTGCGAGTACAGGTGTGCGAGTACAGGTGTGCGAGTACAGGTGTGAGTACGGGTGTATGAGTACGAGTGTGTGAGTACGGGTGTGTGAGTACGGGTGTGTGAGTACGGGTGTGTTAGTACGGGTGTATGAGTACAGGTGTGCGAGTACGGGTGTGTGAGTACGGGTGTATGAGTACGGGTGTATGAGTACGGGTGTATGAGTACGGGTGTGTGAGTACAGGTGTGTGAGTACGGGTGTGTGAGTACAGGTGTGTGAGTACGGGTGTGTGAGTACAGGTGTGAGTACGGGTGTACGAGTACGGGTGTGCGAGTACGGGTGTGCGAGTACAGGTGTGCGAGTGCGACATTGTTACGTCAATGAGCGACTTCCGCGACACGTCAGTGTACTTCTTCTTTATTTACTCACACTGGGCACAACACAGGCCAACACTTGTTCTTCCTCACACTGAGTACAACACTTACATATTAACGTCTCCACTGGCTACACACACAGCCGGTCACTCGGCGTGGTCCCACCGCCCTCACTCGGACCCAGGACCCCACACAAGAGCCCCGAACCCCGGGTGCGCTCCCCCTTATATCCCCCCAGGCGCTGCTAGATGGTTGTTGGGTGTCTCGGTTCAGCGCCGTCGGCGTTAGACGGCTAGAGTTGTCGTGTATAGGCTAGCAACAGTAATAGTGTGCGTCCACGTGGGGTGTGTATTACCCCGATGGTGCTCGTGCATTTAAAGAAGTGCCTCCAAGTCGTACTGTCTCCGAGTTGAGTCACTACACACGCACGGGACGATTCACCAAATGTCTGCACACGTATTGCCACTTCCTGACCATCTCCCCGCCCGCCAGGTGTGAGGATTTCGCAAATGTACGCGGTCCACCAATCCGTGCCTCCAACACACCGGTTCACAGGGGCGCGCCACCACTTAGGGTTGCCGGCTCTGTGGCACGACAACAACAAAAACAACAACCAGGGACATATAATGTAAGGAAGAAGGAGAATATCTCACATTACCCAATGGCAGGAGAACGACACGTGAAGGCATTATGCCGAGTGGTGGATTATTACCCAACTGACAAAAGCTATGACATCTAATGTTGCCGGGGAGAATTCCCTGGGCAGCAGCTGCAGCCTGAGAACACCAGGACAGGTGGAAATCCTAGCCATGACACCCGGCTCAACGGTGATTGTCTGTTCAAAGTCTGGTTCCTGCCACGACCGTAAGGAATTTCCATCGCTGGGCATCAGCCCAGCCAATGAGGGATTGGCAAAACCCATTGCCCCATAGAGCACTGTGGACTTTTTTTTCTTCTGCTCTGTTCATCACGAATGTCAGCCACTGCAATGTCCAAGAGGTGAGGGTGAGGCTGGGGGGGCACTTCACCGGGTTGACACGTTGGGATCGCTTCTCCATCTCGAGCGTGCATCCAGCGTCCATTCTCACGGCAGGTGAACACACCTGGTGTAATCTTGATTTGAAGCTTTCGTGACTGCAGGAATCCATGCTCTGTGGTTCTTTCAGGTAAAGTCACGTAGGTATAAAATAAAATAAATCACGACGTTTCGGGCGCAACGCAAGCGTCCGTCATTAGATGGCAAGCAAGATGGTGGGTCTTCTTTGGTTCTTTCGGTAAGGTCACGTAGAATGAGAATAAAATAATAAAATAAAATAAGGCAATAAAATTCTCACGACGTTTCGGCCACAACACAAGTAGCCTTCTTCAGGTGAAGGAACAAAACTGTCGGGACGACAGAGCTTCAATGAACACTGCTAAGATTCGTAGCGTCTTTTAAGCTGGTTGAGAGAAGTGAGGCACCTTGACAAAGGGGTTTACATATCAAACAGGATAATTTAGCATTGAAATAGCTGAGGGATTAGCTTCTCATTCTACGTGACTTTACTGAAAGAACCAAAGAAGATGAATCCTTGCAGTCACGAAAGCTTCAAATGGAAAAAAGATTGTGGCTGTGAGAGAGTGAGACAGGGCTGAGTGAATAACTCAAAGCACAACTGTGTGCTTTGAGTTATTCGAATCCACCCTGGACGACTGTTGACTCTCCACTTAAACTCGTGACCGTTTATTGTCAGTCCGACACTCTGCTTCTGATCCACCTGGTTGAAAAAAGGGCTTTTTTTTACAAAATCATCCAATTTAAATCGATCACTGTTACTTTTGTAATGACTGTAATTCACCTGCCAGCGATGCGATGCTTCACACACCGGACTTGCAAACCGGCTCGCTTCGATTCTGTGGCACGGCCGTTTAAATAATGGGGCAAGTTTCCTAAATTCCCCAGCCTTTTTCCAACGCAGTGGAATAAAATTGGTTCACCACAGTTAGCCGATCGGCAGCTACGAGTATGGTGGGGTAAAGTGTGG